GCCCAAAATAGTGTGTAGAAAAGTTTACAAATAAAACGTGACTTATTTCATGGTTTAAAAGTAGCTTAGTCTCATTATAAGTCTATGGGTTTACTAATTAAGACCTCTTTGCATGGATTTGCATTTTAATTAAACCAGACAGCTCAAAACCAGCACATTTAATTAGTTAGTAGACCAATATAATAATTACGTTTCCTGAATAGAACTCTTTAGGATAATACAGGGTGTCTCCTCTTTTGAGATTTTAAAACACTTAGATTTTGTTGTTATCAGATGAGGGGCTTAATAGTCAGAAAGAAATCCTTTAACAAACCATGGAGTTTAAAGGGTAGGTAGATATTTTGAGAGATATATGTATCAAATTGAATTATTATTGATTCTATAAATAAACTAAAGCTTGTAAATCAATGTTTATCAACAAATTAAAATTGAAACAACATTTTAAAATTAATTCTTTATTACAAGTAATTGACATTAAACATTGCTGCGATGTAAGGCAGCCTATTTCTCTATTGGTAGTAAGAGATGTGGCCATTAATATTAGACACTGATATAAGTGTCAAGTCTACACTCCTTTACCCAACACCCAAGTGTAAAGTATACAAGCTTCACTTTATTGTCTTTGGTAAGGTTAAATGGGGCCCAATGTTGGGAAATATAAAACGGATATATTTTTTTCTTTATTGGAAATTTAAAGAAATGTTTATGGTAGCTTATGAAATAAATATGTTTGATCAAAATATATACGGTACCTAAACAAGCAAACTACAACAGATTATTATTGTTTCCCACCCTTATTGACATGTATCTCTACAAAAAAGTTGGCCTACAATGAAATTGCAAAATTTTATGTTTTGGGATTTGGGAATCAAAAATAGGAAAAACCAATATTAACCCCATTCCCATAGTCTGAAAATGCTGGTTCGCCAACTCCGTTGAATAAATGTAGGTTTATGGCGGGGACACACCTGTCATACACCCTTCCGACCCTACAACGATCTGATTTGCGGGATTCCAGAAGGGTCGGTGCGGGATCGGAGGGAGTGAGCACACATGTAATACACGATTCCGACCCATCTACCATTTCCTCCACTGGGTCGATCAACACTCGCCAGTCTGATTTGTAAACTACGTACAGAAAAACTTTGGACTTCGGGATTTAGCCATGATGGCGGTTTGTCGAGATAAAGAGGAAGAAAGTCAGCTCTGGAGTGCAGTGTAAAACGGAGAATTTGGTTCCATTCTGCATGGAACGAAAGTTAGATGGTTTACTTAAGTGCCCATCTATATATTAAACACTTTGGTTTTTCTCTCTCGAGTTCATTTGGCTCTTCTACCAGTCCGATTTTCATGATTGAGGTCTCGAATTGAAGGTATGCACGCACAGAGGGGTAGCGGATTTTTATCCCCCTGGAATTTTACCCCCTGGGCAAACGTGACGTCACAAACCAGGGGGTAAAATTCCGGCCGCGAACTTTTGAGTTTCGCGACATCAGCTTGATGTATTAAACGCGGAATTAAACATATATTTTCACGGTTGTGAGTTTAATCAGAAATGGTAAACATTTTATTATTAAGTAGCCTATCTTAATTTATATGTAACATTAACTAATCGAACAGGGTTTTAATATTAATTTTGAGATTCGAGTGTCAGGATTCGATCTTTGAAGCCAACTGTTGGTTAATATGATCAAAATAAAACAGCGAATTCTGTTTACTTAGTTGAGATTACAAAATAAATAAATAAAGATAGGCTACTAAATAATGAAATGTTTACAATTAATTAAAAACAGAAATAAGAAAATCAATCATTCAATTTCTAAAATCAGCCAGGGGGTAAAATTCCGGGGGGTAAAATTCCGGGGGTAAAAATCCGGCCCGTACATCTTCAGTTGCCTAAACGCTAGTTATATGGACAGGGGGTAAAATTCTGGTTTTTATCGCTAATCTAATTAATCACGCTCTGACTATTTTCATTAGACTTCCAAATCCGCGGGGGTAAAATTCCGGCCGCGAACAAACTTTTGGCCACTCAGGTTACTACGTCATAGTGACGTCAGCTTTGCCCAGGGGGTAAAATTCCAGGGAGATAAAATTCCGGCGACCCCGCACAGATTCCACATCAAGCATCGGCATATATTTATCTTAAACCATTATTCTTAAACCTTAAGTATAAAGGTGATTTTTAAGAAACAACCCGTCCTGCATCCTGCATCCGACAAACGAATAGACTGCAGTGCCGTTGCGTGATCGGAATCAAAATCGGAGTGGGATCGGAGTATGACGTGACGCGTGTTGGAGAGGTGTAAACACCTGCGTTCAAAGTTAAGTACCATTCCCCTCTCCGACAGTCGTACCACAGTATGATCGTAGTCGGATCGGAAGGGTGTATGACAAGTGTGTCCCCGCCTTTACGCTGAATCAGATGATTTTTACTCAAGTTATAAACTATAGTGCTAACTGTAACATAAATAATGTATAGCTGTGAATCAGGGCCAGACTTACCTATGGGCGAAGGGGGCGAACGCCCGGGGCCCCCGGGCCAAGGGGGGCCCCGACAGGGGCCCCCTTTGTACATTAGTTTTTATCATTAACTTCGAAAATTGATCAGACACTTAACAAATGGCCTTCTTTTGTAACAGCTTTATTTTTATTTTCGCTATCCTATGTTTAAGGTTATTGTTAGGTGCATTTTAAGGCATTACTAGGAATGAGATTCTTGACCCTAAGGGACTTTTTCTCAGAGTTGCTCTGGGCCCCACGCTTAGGCCTGGTTTACATGAGCTTAGCATAGTGCTAGGATGTGACGGACAAGTTTCAGTTTCAATGAAGCCGCTCGCCCGAACGTACGGCCGCGGCGAATGGGTTGAAGGGGGTCCCGCGCTTGGGGCAAAAATACAATAAATATGAAAACTCTAGTCCCAACGTAGAACGTAACTTGTAAAATTGTATTGTGTTAAATGGAGATTCACTGGAGTTCAAATACTTTTAAAAATAAAAACATTGCTCCGTTTATGTTTTATTAAATGTTATTCTTTTCTTTTACCTCTAAGTATATACCAATCAGGATTTTAAGGGGTAGAAGTATATTATCCGTTCAATTGAAAGGTTTTGTAAAATAGTAATTAATTAAGTTATGCGTCCAAATTTTGATCTCCAATTACGTCTTTGGAGTCAAAATCATATACTGTAGCAACAGTAAGATTTTTAAAATCTATATAGACACTTTAAAACAACTAGAGTCGTCTGATGTTAACAAAAAATTACATTTATTGGGATTGGGCGAGCGTTGTCGTATGAAATCGTAAATAAGCGAATAAGCAGAAGCAGCTGCAACAATAAATGATGATGAGCTGATAAGTGATCCTGTCTAGTCCTGACTCTCACGCACGCGCATACACACACATAAAATGCCTTATCGCCTGTGTTATACTCTCGCTTGTGTTATCCAAAACAATTTAAATCACTTTACTCCCATAGTTTGTCCTTTGAGACTAGTGGTCACGTCAAGTTGGTTGAAATTGTCTTACTTTTGTGTTATTTTATTGTAATTCTGCAAACTAACAGTACAAAAACAAAGCTGAAGTGAGTAATGTTTTATTCAATGCTATGTTTGTGTTGTATTAATCGATATTGGATCCATTTAAACATCTTTCAGTTACTCATATAAATACTTAGCTTGTGAGTGTTTATTAGACATTGCAAGATTTTGCTCCTCAATAAAAAAACTCAAACTTGAAAGTCCCCAATGGTACTTTTCATGCTAGGACTTTAACATATTATAAAAACGAGAATGCCATAGGTACCAAAACCATTATGAAAATAAAATAATCACATCTATATTGTAGTAATATTGAAAAACCATACAAATCGACGGCAATAATCGATAATTTAAATACGTAATAAACAAAAATATATCAATACTTCTTATCCAAATATATTATGGTAGCCTACCATGATACCATACCAAATATGCCGTCAATACATTTTTATTTTTGTGTATAAAATTAAAATATGCTGTATATAAAAATATGTTAAAATAGTTATATTTTAAGAATTTTTTTTTATATAGAACTTATTGCTTATTTGGCCTTAAATTGCTCTATTTGAAGCCTAAATTTAGAAAATTTTCCCGGGGGAGGACCCCCTAATCCCACTGGAGGACCCCCCCCTGAACTGAAATCCTAGGGCCCCATTGGAAAATTTGCCCGGGGCCCCTGAAGTCGTAAGTCTGGCCCTGCTGTGAATTTGAATAGATAGTGTTTTGGCTTCAAAATGAAAAAGTAAAATAGTCCTTGTGCCTCCAATACTCTATTGGCATGCTGTCAATCACTATTTCCCTTGAATCCGCCAACCTTTTAAAATTAATACAACTTTTTTTAAACTGTACCAACTTCTTTGTCATATCAACTATCATGGTTGATAGAATTTTGATATCTGGGCTAATAAGTTGTCCTGATTAAAAAAACCAGCTGTTCTTAGCACAGAGAAGTAAAGTTCAGATGACGACCATGCGCTTTTAACTCTATTATATTGTGCCAGAAATATTCTTGTGACAAGCAAGGAAGAGCCTAAGCAGTGAGCACTGTGCAGGAATTCCTATCGCACAGGGCACAGGGTCTTCCTCCAACGTGAACGTTGTAGTACATGAGAGCGAGGAGGTGTTGGACTTTGCCCTAGACACCACTTAAGTGTACCATTGAATGTTTCCTCTGTATCTTACTTTTCTGTGTTCTTAGCTAGTAATTACAATCTCTTTAGTTCAAAATTTCTCTTTGCTAATCTTTGTTTTAACATACATCGACGTTTGTAGAACTTAATTTTATTCCCATCAGTAAGCATATCTGGCCTCACCATCATGTTAAAGGTGATCAAATCAATTCGTTCAACAGCTTTAAAGCATCGTAATCAACCTTACAAATCTGATGACTTAAACTATTAACTCAGAGTTTATAAACACCTATAAGCTCGGCTGTCGTCTATAGAGAATCGCTTTTCAGTGACATCTCACCAATGGCAACGTCAGTCTAGTGACAGTGTAAAGTAGTCAGTGACCATGATGGGAGGGGGAGAAGTAAAGGTGGCGACTGTAGAGTCGGTGGAGTCGGTGGACAATATGGCGACTCTCCCAGTGTCTAGGGCTCACGCGCCGAGCGACGTCACTCCGGAGAAGAATAACTTTACCAACAAGGAGATGGAGGCTAAGAAACGACCTGTAGCAGCCTCCCAGGCTAAGGATCCAAAGAGGTGAGTTCTGGAGGGAGTCAAAGACAAAGAAAAAGTTTCAAAATTAGCAAATACCAGTTTTAACAACAAAGCCCCCAAGAACCAAGAGGTGAGTCAGGGAAAGAGTCAATGAGTTGTTCAATCGGAGAAGGATAGCGTTCTGTGGTTTAAGAATACCCTATGGAAAACGAGAGGTAGGTAGGGAAAGCAAGACAAACCCCAAAAATATAAATACTTTTATTTTTATTTTAAGAAAATCATCTGACAGAAAAAAGATTTTTTTAGAACTTAGAAAATTAGAATCCAGGAACTCATTTAGATTTACAAATAATGTAACGTGGTATAACACTGATATTTTATCTGAGAGTTGTTTGACAGCAAATTAGATTTTCATAAATCTGTTCTCTAAAGAGGTCCTGATGACGGAGTTTTCCAGAAAAGGGAAATAAAATCAAATAATTGAAACAGTTTTAATTTACAAGGTAACTTTTGTCTGTTCCAGGACATCCCTGTTCATAATCTTGAGCTTCATCTATGCCAAGCTGTTGGTTGTCATATGTATAGCGTTTGTCGTCTCTGAGGTTGTGACCCATAGTCTACCCATACCCTACTATGAGGTAAGTACCCTCAAAATAGTTATTTAAGTATTCTTTTTTTATCCAACCAAATATATTTATTTATGTTTCATTTTAGCGGATTTCTACATCTCATGTTTTCTGTCCCCTCCAGTTTCCGTGCCTTTCTGTGGGACAAAGGCTTTCCTTTATCTTTCCCAACTATGTCTTGTTGTCCCCTTACCCTGTTGGAGACCATCCCAAAATTTTTATGGGAATTGGCGTCTTATACTTTCTGTTTACTTTTTCAAACCAAATTCAATATACCTCATCAGGGTAAAATTCAACAATGAAATTACATAAATTGTTTACAAACACTTAAAAGAAACTTCAAAAAAGAGTTATTAAAATTTTGGACATTGTCCTTTTATAACAAGATCTTCTTTTCCCAATTGGTTTTTTAAAATGCCTTTGGGAATGCTTTTGGAATTTTAATTTTACTCATGCCGAAAAGATCTTAAAAATAAAGTTGATATCTTGATATTTTCAAAATCTTTATCTTTACCTTATCTTGGATCACTACAACTACAAATGTGATATAAAAATCTGTTCATTTTGAGTGGTAGTGTTATGAAATATGAATGGCAGAAAGTGGTCGACAAAGGAACTTAACAGTTTAATTAACAGCTTTATAGAGCAACAAAAGGCGTGTTTAAGCTGGTTAGAAGTCCTCTGTTGAACTAGAGATAAGAGGTTGTAGAAGCTGTTAGAAGGGAATTTTGACCATTAGTATGAATCGTGAACTTCTTTGTGAACCTTCAGCAAGAAATTCAGTAGTAAAATACTGTTCATTGTTGTAGAAATTAAATGTAACATATTACTATTCTCTCTTGTTTGGATTTAAGTTCATATTTTCAACAAAATTCAGAATAAGTCATCTCAAAAATATTGGGATTGGTTTACTATGCTACTTTGTACTTATTAGTTGATATTTGAACGGAAGACATTAAAGATGGAGTTAAATTAAATTTCAAACTTTGGATACCTAGTTATTTATGACATGAAATTTTAAATTTTTCACTCTTTCTACCTACATTGTTAAAACCTCGTAAAAGTATAGATAACTTTTTCAATATTTCAACTTTTATTTGTTACATTTTTATCATGTAGCTTCAAGCTACTATTTGAATCTAGTTTACTAGATCTGATTTTCTACTCCAGTCCGTAACTTAAACTTTTGGTATGTACAATTGATTTTTTTATAATTATAAATAAACACACCTAAAAAAACTAACAACCATCCTTTATCCTAGGGTTTCTTCACATACCTTTACGGAGTCAGCATTGTCTTCTTGCTGTACGTCTTCTGCTTCCTTCTGCAAGAGAGTACCTGCTGCCAGGCCGCTGAGCCCAAGCCCAAGAAGCCAAAGAAGGAGAAGGAAAAAGAAAAAGAAAAGGAAAAGGAAAAGGAGAAGGAAAACAAGAAAAATAAGAAGAAGGAGGCTGCTGACAAGAAGAAGGAGAAAGAAGATAGCTCCAAGGGAGGTGGTGGAGGGGGAGAGCCACAACCTCCGCCTGCTCAAGGAAAGCGTAATAGCAGATCCAATATATTCCAGGTGAGATTTTTAATAAAAGAATTACAAACCAATGCCAAATTATGTTTTCATAGGTTGTATCATAGTAACTATTAATGTTTTCCCTTCTGGCATTCATATTTGCTGCTAGATGACAGTGTTTTGACTAAAGGTCTCTCAACTAGCAGTGAATGGTAATGCTAGAAGGTAAATTATATTAATAGTAATGTTTTACATCCCAGTAGCAGGATCTCTTAGTATCATTATTACTTCCATATCTGCTCAACTACCATCCACAGCTCCCGTCAAACCTGAAGCCTAAAATGACTGTGTCTGCCATCGTAAAAGCAGTCGGTAATGAGGTATTTTACTTGTGAAAATCATTTATGTAGTTGATTGGAAAGTTACTTCTGAAGTTAAACTCTACCTACTCTATTTTTTTGTTTAAACTAACAATTTATCTTTTCAACTCATTTCTTGACAGCTATCATCATTAAATATAATGGCGTACTACTGCTAGTTGCACATTTTTGTGCTCTTATTAAATTTAATTTTACCACGCTTTATTTGTTTAGTCACATACTGCCTATTTAAGTTAAATTTATTTTTTTTCATTTAACGTTTTTTCTTAAATAAAACTCAATCAGTACGACATAAGTTATCTTCGCAAACTGTTAAGTTTCTGTTTGAAATAAACATATAAAATAAAAATAATTTACCAAAATTATTTTGCAATATTTAATTGTGTAAATAAAGAAAATTAATCATGATAACACCATGAAATTAAATGGAGTAGAAGTTCGAGTACTCATATTTTTATTTCTATTAGAATTTGTTTTAAAGTAGTCACTTACTAATTTCCCAATATTGACATGAAATATTTTTTTTAACATAAACAATTTTAGAATTCTTTGTGTAATTTTTATGTTCTAACCAAAGCTTACTAAAATTGACAGTAGCATTTAACATAGTTAGAAAAGGAGTAAAGTTATTTTATTTTTATTTTTAACTCTGTCAGGATATTTATGTTTTTATTTTCACTGGATCAGAACGAAGGTTATCCACGTAAAATGAAGGATCTGATGCGTAGCAAAAGCGTTCTGAGTGATGAACCTGACTCAAATCCAAATTCAAATTCCGGCAGCAAGTCCGAACTTGTGGTGAGTTTTGAGTGAGTTACGAGTTTGTGAGTTGCGATTTCCGAGTTACGTCACTAACATCAATTGTCAATGGCGAGTCTGCATGGAGTGCGTATTTTAATTTTAAATTCTTCCAATTCTTTCAGGCTTTCAAAGTGTAATAAATACATATTCGTATTACTAACCACAAGACATAACTTTACGACTAATTAAGAAACAAGTAATTTTAACAATATTCTGAAACTCTCTTAAGGGAAAAATACAACTAAAAAATATCAAATTGCTATTATATTAACTAATGGACAATTTTGATATAAATTTCTTATCTACAATAATGAATGGCTTTTAAATATTCACTATGCATACCGGTATTAGCTCAGTTTCGTCTCTATACAAGCAAAAGCGAACAAAATGTTGCTTGTTATTTACAGTTGTTGGCTTATGACACCAAATAATACACACTAGTTTCCTAACTATACTATTTTAGATCTTTAGGCTCACACTAAGTACTTTATCTTCTTTATCAGTTCTGTCTCTATTTAGTGCTTGTTTTCACATGGATTTTGTGAATGGACTACGCAGATTTTGTCACGTCTTTATACAGTTTTTTGTTATTTTTTTTGTTGAATACCGTTATGCTTCTGGGTAGCTGAGTGGTTATAGTGTTCGCCTAAAAGTAAACAAGTTGTCAATTATGTCCTGAAGAACATCAGTAGATTTTTGATTCAAAATTCTACTGATGTTCTTCAGGACATAATATTTTGATGGTTTAAAACTAAACCCAAAGTTGTCCTTGATATGGGCCTTTTTTGTTTGATTGTTGTAGTCAGCTGACTTACTACTGTTTTTATTGGTTTCTAATCTCAATAAAGTATATAAACTGAATGTAAACAAAATCATAAAGCTATAGTACCAATAATAGGGTTAAAAACTATATAGGTCAAGTAAGTAAGAAAGTAATCATAACTGGCAGGACCAGGATTCTATATGACTTTATGGCTCAAGCATTACAAATACATAGCTGAATTAAATACACAACAGTATCAAATTGCTTGCAAAGTTTTCTACAAAGATGGTCTTAATAGTTCTTTTTGAAGAATAAAAAGTATTACTTTGAGAGAAAAAAAACAAAATTTTCTGATTCCAGAAATATAGCTAATATTTCATCTTCCTCTATTCTTAATTGACAGACAACCTGTTTCCAAGGATTATGGTAATCAAACGTTTCTGTTTTGAAGGCGGGAGGAATGGGAACGCTGAAGAAAGGCAAAACCGGAGAGAGTCCTTCCCAGGAGAAGCTGGACGTCGGAGATGTTGAGAGTTGTCCCTTGCCGCAACATCCCGGACGCAAGCGCAAGACATCCCAAAACACCAGCAGTCACGGCAGTTTCTTTCTGCGTGTGGGGGCCATTGGTGAGTCAATCTCAGAATTTTCTTGTGGATGTGTTGTATGAGTTGGTGGTGCAACAGCAATGAATCAAGACAGTAATGTCGAGGGAATCACGGTGCCACCACTAATACTCATCAATGCAGTTTGTTCGTTTTCTCTATTGGATCACCTCTTAATTTGCTTGACACATTTCATACTGGCTAAAAGCCTATAATGACTTGCAAATACGACACTAAAAGGTAAAAGAGGCCTTTTACCTATAAAAGACAAAAACAAAGAAATCTCTTTCAAGAAGCTCAACCCCTCAAGTGTACAAAGCCTTGATTATATGTTCACTATTTCGAACTTTGCAAATTGTATGGTTTAGTTTTGAAAGCAGCTAAAAACAGCTGAAAATTGTGTATAATATTTGCTGCTATCTAGGAGAAAAGGTTACAACAAATACTGTTGACTAAGCCCAACAGTTTTAATTTAACCTATCTGAATGGGCATTTAGCTAAGTTTGTGAAATCTTAAGCAAAGTAATGGCAAACAAATGCAGCATAATAACCTCTGCACTGATACAAAATTAATGGCCGCTTTGGACACAATATTAGCTACTGAAGACATGTTGGTATTGTGGTGGATGGGCCCATGGTTAACATGTGACACACTATGTGCCTGAGAAATAATTGCGCCCCTCCCCCGTCTCCGTTGCAAGGGAATTTTTCACTTCCTTGTGCCCCAAATAAACCTAAAACCTCTTGCGCCCCTGGGCCCAGGCCCACCTGGCCCTAATGCAAAGGCGGTCCTGGTGGTGGACAGAGGGCTGATCAATAGACAAGAGGTCTACAGCTGTACTAAATTCTTCAAAATTTAGATAAGAGTAGTCTTATTGTCTTTACATATTTATTGGACTATTGTTATAATGTTCTTTTTTCAGCGTTTGGGCTCGCAACTATGATTTACAATGGGCTGGAGTTTGGGGAATTTTTTGAAATCCCATTTTCGTCCCCGTGCTACCAAGTGCTTCGGGGTGTCAACCCATTGTTGCAAATGATGTTCACGTTCATGCAGATGTACTTCATATTCATGAACTCAAGGGTAAGTTCAACAATGTTGCATTAAATGTTTGTTCCGGACGTACGTACGAGTTATTTCTAGTTTATAAAACCAAATTAAAATAGCCTTGTACTTCAAACTTGTTTAATGAATGAGGCTGGTAGCCTTATGGACTTTTCCTACGCCAAGTGTTTGAGTGTTTTGGTACCGGTACACTAAGTTTCAGGAGGTAAGGAATCTCCTCCCGTTTTCTAGTGACTAACTAATCTACATTTACCTAACTAACGTATAGTGTAGTTAAAACACTTAGTAAAGGAAAATTCCATAAACTAAAATTAAAATAGTTATCCTTCCCAATTGTGAACTTTAAACACTCATTACCCTCTATCTTCATCATGTCTAGAAGTTATGTTAAGCAACGTGAATAACATCAAATTTTGTTGGACGATCAATTATATCGAGCCTAAATGTTCATTTCAAAGTTGAATACTATTATATTAAATCCTCTTTTTTTTTGCATTGTAATAAGTTGTCAGAACAGATACTCACACAGTAAGTTGTGGGCCCAAACATTAATTTGTTTTTAAATCTCCAGGTTTGTTAAGATATATCCCAAAAAAATAGTACAAGTACAATAGTGCCTTAAAGTGGCAAAAAAAGTAATGAAAGATGGATCAGATTAGATGTTTTGATGTTCTTTTTCCCAAAGATTGAATAGTTGGAGTTTCATACACAAATGATGTAAAAAATAAAACATTCATTCATTTCATTTCATTTCAAAACCTATTTTTATATGTTAGCTAATTGTGTTCTTTCCCAACGGCAGTTGAACATCCACCGGTTCAAAGTGATCGCTCGGTTCGGCCTGATGCACATCGTAGCCACAAACCTGTGCGTCTGGATACGTACTTTGGTGTTGGAGAGTTTAAAGGAGATCACCGGATATCTCAACAAACACAATACCACCTCTGTGCTGGGCCCGTCCCCTTCCGTCGTCCGCAACCTCAAGAATGACTTTGACATTTTGAGTAAGTATTGACGACAGTTTAAAACTATTAGATTATAGCTACAGTACAGTTTTGAACAAGTTAAATTATATTTTGAATAATATAATTGAAATACAGTATGTGCAAAGTGATTTATGTATCTTTGTGACTGATTAAGATCAATTACGGTTTCTTAAGCCAGGATCATTAAGCCCAATGATCAATGTCAACCCTTGGAAGCATGAGCTCTGAATAACCATTAATAGTACAGAGGTAAAACCCACCCAGAAAACATGAGGTACATGATAATAAAAAATTAATAAATGATCTATCAATATATCCCCTTAAAGTAGTGGAGGAGTATCCATTCCCCCTTGTTCCCCCTAATGGCTGCCATGGCTAACAAGTATCCAATAAATGTATTTAACTTATACAGTATTCCAATGTTTTGGTTTGTTTATACTGTTTCAAAACTATAATTTTTTGTATTATACTCAAAAGTATTTAAGAGCAGAGATAATCAAACAACTTGGTGGAATTTATCTGGGCTTATAAACTGGACATTGCTGGTTTGTTGAAACAGCTCCCTCCTCTCTCATATCACTGCAGTCAAAACTGGCTTGCTTAAGGTCCATGATGGTGATTTTCATTTAAAAACACAACTAAATAACAAAGCATCTCTATAAAACTTATCTTTTGCGATTTTACAGGTAAACTACGAGAAGCGACTGAAAGCCCGACAACTACTACTACAACCATGAAATCAATTTTCAAATCTACCTCTCGTGCATTTGCCGATACTGCTAGGCAACTGGTTCAGCACTCGACGGAAGCAGCAACCACACTGCTGCCAACCACGCAGTCTAGCACAATGTTGCCAACATTGCCTACCACCACTACCACAACGACCACCACGACACTCCCTCCGTTTATTTTCACTGACCCCACGACTACCACCACGTCAACCACCACAGAAGCTGCTTCACTAATTAACTTCATTAAGAAGAATCTCACCGCTGCTGGTGAGTAGGTTTTGTATTCTACAATGAACTGAATGGCTTAATTACTTTATGACTAGATCACTAACCTAAGATAAGGAACTTGTGTACATATATTATTTCAATAAGAAAGCAGGGTGAGTGTAAAATGGAGTGAAATCTCTGCAGCTTTCTGACTAAGATCAGCTGGTTTTGTGGCCATTTATTGAAGCCCAATAATCAAGGACAGCTGGGTCCAAATTTAAAACCTAAAAAAGCTAACAATGTACGTGGTCCAACTAGAGACAAGATTCAGGGACCGTTTTCATGGGATATCTTTTTATTTTTAACAACTGATAGCAAAGCAATGTGTTCTTGCAATGCCATGTGCAAGCAAGATCTATAAATCCTTGATTTTGAGAGGATAAGAATTTAAAGTTGTAGATATATAGCAATAATACTGAATTTTGATGAGTAAACACTAAGACGAGCCCTGTTAGACACCATAGTTTGTACCATTGTACATCAACATTTTACCATTGCAAGATAGCATCCTATGACTACTCATTCTCTGTGCTATCTAAAGTATTACTTGATAAATAGTGATTTGTATCCTGTTTCATTCTGGTTATTCCCGGGTCTGATCATCAACTAGGTTCCATGTTTTCCTATTCCACCAGTGTTCCCCTTTCTCCACCATCCTACTACTCTTCTCTACACATTACTCTTTTCAAAAATAGTGTCATACAATTCTTACGTATTGCCCACTTTAGTGACTGATTCGTCCATATTCTGGGATGACTTTGGAGAGTCGCCGCTCGCCCCAGCTGCCCTGGTCAGTGCCAACCGCACTCCCATCGACCCGGAGAGCTGTGGCCGGGTCAACATCATGGGCAGTATTGTGCATGATTCTGCCCCTTATCTGTTCCCTTTCATCATCGAGTACAGCCTGATTGGTGCTGCCGTGATCTATGTGATGTGGCGCCATATTGGACGTCACGCTAGGTAACGTTGTGCAACAAAGCTAGTTTACCTGAGGAAAAAAGAGATACACATCATTATAAGCTTCATGCAGATTACTGATTCATATACTAAAGAAGAAAGAAATCAAAATAATGTTGTAATTCCTTAATTAAAGATTTGTTCAATGAATTTAGGTATAAATTTGTACTATGCTTAAGGCGTTTTATAACATAAAACATTTGTATACTCGGCAATAATTTTAGTTTCTCTAATGACAGATACCATGGGGAGGAGGACTTGGAGCAGAGACTGGAGGTGATACTATCCCGACGTGCCGTGGCCATGGCACACGCCAGTGCGGGCCGCGTAGACTGTGTCGGGGCCAGCAAGGGACTGTTCTTTGGCCTGCTGCTGCTCGTCGGCTCACTCATCTGTCTGATCCTGTTCTTTGTCTTGGTGCACCACCCTCAGCTTGGCCTACTGGCCATCTACCTGGCCGACGTCTCCCACTGCACTCTCATGGGCCTCAGCATCATCGCCATCATCATCGGTTTCATCAGGTTTGTGTTATGTCAGTTTTCTCATTTTAATAGTTTGGGTAGATACCTGAAAAGAGTCAGTAACTTTTTGGTGCTTCAAAACTGGGCCCAGCTGTCCTTGATCATTGGGCTTTTAATGTATAGTTCTTACTAAAGAAACAGTAGATCATAGTCAGTAAAAATGCTGCACAAATCTTCTAGCCTCATTCTACATTCATCCTGCATTCTAATTTAGCTTAAGATCCACACCTAGCTGCTGTCACTGCCAAAAAGGATTGCAAACAACTTATTTTGTGGAATAGAGATTTTTTAGAACAATGATTCAATTTACATTCTCTACTGCAAGGGATATTTTGATAAAAAAAAAAAACTTGTTGGCAGCTTTTACAAGTGATTGTATGCACGGGGAACTAGCTGTGATGGCATCAGCGCGGTTAGAACGTTTTTGTGTTCTCTGAAAATACTCATTTTTTTCACTTGCAGCATTGTTTGACGGAGCTATTCAATTAATGACATCAGTAATGATTTGCTACCCATATTACTCCAAGTATTGCAGTAGACTTCAATTATGATTACAATTTTACGTATTCCCTGTTATTTAACTTGTGTTTCTCAAAAGTATGTTTAGTTTATCAAGTTATTTTTTAATACAGGGTCAATTTAGGAAATAAACAGATATTTGGAAACAAAAAAATAGCCCCCAAAGCTACATGAACCAGCTGTGAGCCCTGCATGGAGTGACCCCTAATGACTGTTACAGAGTCCAGGGCCTCAAGTTCCAAGGCGAGGAGTCTAGCGATCTCAACGACATTCTGCAGCGAGTGTCTGCATTCGGACTGTTTGTCTACGCAGTGTTCAGCATCATCGCTGGATCCCTTACAGCTCTTACTAGTGAACCGAACTTGTTGGTCATGATCACTGGGAACCTAGCTGTTGTGCAGGTCTGTCTTATAGTTCTTCAATTGTTTTAATTTTGTTATTGTTAGTATTAACTAAGGGGAGCGAGCTGGACTAGGGTTAGAGCGGGGGGGCTTCAGAGCCCAAGGTCCCTGATTCAAATCCCGCCAATCACCAATGGATTTTATCCATGTGATAATGCTGCAACCCTCTAGGCCTAGCCTGAATGTGTAATGTGTAAAACAGTTCCGTTCTAGATAGCGTCCTAGAATGTAAAGGAGGGATATAAAAAAGTATTGAGTTTTATGACAAAAGTTTTAACTGAAAACCAGTTTGTAAAATGGGTCTAACGCTTATACTATATGGAGGTATAACCATACCATGGAGGGCATTTTCCTATTTTGCCCCCTTTAAATCCCATAAATTTGGCATGTAGGGAAGCACAAATATTATAACATTATCAAATGGTCAACCTCTAATTTTCAAGCACCATTTTAATACTAAAATTTAATTTTTCACTCTCATTGTTCATGTTTGTTCAGTTGTATGGAATGTTGCATGTGAACAGTGATATTTATAATTAAATTTGTTGAGAAGTTATCAATGAAATTAAATAGGTTAAAATGTCAATCAGATAACACTTTCTGAAGTATAAGTGTAATCAACCCAATACTCATAATTTTAAAAGCTCTAAATGATATTGTAGCTACAATTTTTGCAAACAATTAGGCTACATTACTGTAATGACATTTAATCGATTTCTCAATTGTTTACATTCAGGTTGTTCTCCAACTACTATTCATCGCAGACATTGCCCGACGACGTGTGCATCTCCCCGAACACGACCGCAGCAAACCTGGCCGACAGATCGTTACGTTCTTGCTCATATGCAATGTCACCATGTGGATTATATACACTTTCGAAACTCAAAAAGTCATTGCCAACCCTGTGCAGGTATGCTTTGATTTGGTTATTTATTAACCTTTCAAATAATCCAAGTTAAATATTTTGATTTTTCTTGCATTTACGCTTCAAATTTATGAGACATAAACTGCAATTTATACCAAGATTTTATATGTCTATCAACACTTATTTTTTATATGTTAATGAAGAATGAATGCCACACTAGTAACCAAACTGAGACAAAAATTTTAGCGAGTTATAATAGCATACAAAATGTTCACAATATAATTTATTTGAAATTTTTCCCCTCAAAGGGGTTTTTCATGTGACAAGGGAAAAGTAGCTAATATTTTTCATTCAAAAATTCCAAAGCCAAATGTTATTTTTAAATAACCATGTATTCTCTTATGAAATTTTAGCAAACAAAATTATCATAATGTCTAATCCTAGGTTTTAAATCTAGTTTCCTCAACTCTGAATAATTTAAAACTGATCCTTGAATTTCAAATCAAAGAAAATTTTACACTTATTAATAAATATAACAAACAATCAATAATATAACAAATATCCCAAATTGGGATGTTAGATATTAATTCCACTTCAAAATAAAATTCTAACACCATATCCTTTGACTGTAACCTGTAACTTATTTTCAATGTTAAAATCAGTAATCTTTTAACGTACATTCTGTCTTCAAATTTTAAATGTTTCTTGCCAAAAAATTGCCAAAAAATACAAATGTGAAATCTAATTTCAACACTGGTTGTTCAGTTGGATTTCTACGGGTTCCTGGCTTGGTCCATGGTGCAGCGAGTCACTCTTCCTCTATGCATCTTTTATCGATTCCATTCCGCCGTGACACTTGCAGAGATATGGAAGACCAGCTACAAACCCCGTCTCGACTAAAAAGGTATTTTTCATCCATCGTTTCAAATTTTATTTCTAAAAAAAATATATATATATATATATACACAAGTTTTATTGCTTAGCAATTAATTGCCTACAAGAACGAGTGGAAGTCTCAAACATATGTTTTTGTTGGGAACAAAATAATAATTATTTGTATTTTTTATTCTCCTTATAGATTCAACCATTCCTATAATATTTATGTCTCCATTTTTTTATTAGTTCAAAAACTGGCAGAAGAATTTTGCACTAACAACTGTTTATGATAACATTTTCAACTGAGTGACATTTGGATTAGAAAGATATCTTAAAGTCCAATAATGAACAAGTTTTGTTGTTGACAGACCGATTTGACTGTTAGCAAGAACACCTGTCATCCTTGGTTAGAAATGCTGCCAGTGACAGTCAAATATTCTATTATTTTATATTAGACATCTTTCTTCCTAATTGAAACATTCCTTTCTTGAAAATGCTTAGAGAGACAGTAAAATATTCTAATAATCTATTTTAGTGTGGATATTTAATGTATCTTGTGCTTTAATAGACTCTTTCCAACCCAGAAAGAAACCCAGGAGGTTGGTGCTATATTCCCAACGGAAATTCTTAAGACCCTTGTATTCTATGTTACGTCTTTTGTTTTGATTAACTCCGCTAATCTGACTTTGGCTTTGTCCGACTTGTTGCTTAATCCGACCGTACCATTACCTATCAGTGACTGCGATAATATTGTGACTGTTGCCATGACCTCGCATTCACAGCAAAAATCTTGTTTATCCCCCACAATCACAGAAATATTATCATCGTCTCATGACCTTGGCATAATATTTAACGTATCTCACGCAGTGGCATAAATAACACCCCCGCAACACCCTGCATTGCGGGGGGGGGGGGGGGGGGCACCGAGGTCCAGGGGGCGCCAAGATCCAGGGGACATTGAGGTCCAATTGTCACCACCCCGCAAAGATGATGTCTTCAAGACTGAAAAATATAATCATGATTTTGCCACAATAGCGGAAAAAGATTGTGTTTTTTCATGACCACGGGAGACGAAGATGATGTCTACAAGACCGCGGATGATGTACAAGATGTTGCCACAATCATTTAAATCGATGACGAGTTTCAATGACTGCAGGAGACAATGTCCATATGAACTCAGGAGATATTCAAGATTTTGCCGCGATAACGGAAAACGATGACTAAGTTTCCATGGCCAATGGAGGTGATGAAAAAATGTCCATTTTGCCACGATCACGGCTTTTGCTGGGATAAACAAATAAAAAATAAGGGGTGATGTTTTGGTGGGGGAAGGGGGGGCGCCATCTACATGTAATGAGGGGGGCGCCGCTCATTCTACATACCCCACTGCTCTCACGGTCATGGAAACTATATCATCCCCTTTTGCGATCACACACGACTAATAAATGTCAGTAAAGCAATTAATTTGGTAATTTAATATACTCCTTGAATAATCCAACTTTTTCACTGTTCCTACTCGGTCTTGGTCCCGTTGGTGAAGGATTAGCGGGGTTGTACTGCATCTCAAACATATTATATTTCTAGCAGAAATAAATTCAAATTTTTCTTTCAGTAATGTTTTTTTCTCAATCTAAAAATAATGTTGTAAATTTGTTACAGCGACGCAGTGAACGCAAAGGTATCCATCAAAGTTACCGTATGAATTCTTCACTCAATTATATAATTTGAGTTGTTATAATATGAGAATCTCCTTCGGAGGTATTTATACTCTGTACTGAATGAGTTTTATCATATCTTTTGTATAACTGTTTTAAACCCCACTACAAAATTACTATTGTATGTTATCACCGTTGTGATCGGGGGCCATTTGTTTCATGTCGTGAAGCGATTTTACTAAATACGAACACTGTTCTATGTACTTAAAAGTATTAACTACGTGTCTACATTCTCGGTTGTATTTATATGCCATAATTTGATAGGGTGTTTATGTAAAGTGGTGTGGTATCTGTAAATAAATCTGTATTAATGTATTTTACTATTGGTTTTACTTTGTGTAGTTTAAGCAAAGAAAAGTTTTATACGTAAGAAGTTAAAGAAAGAACGCATTTTGAATTTTGTTAGTCAAATTAACAGTTTAAAAATCTCTAAACCATATTGGTACTTACAAATTTTATTCTTTTAGTGGAAGGGGAGTTCTCAACCTCCAAGAAAACTATTTTTTTTATAGATAAGTGGAACTACATACAGCCAAAGTTTTTCTCCAAACCATCAAGTCATTGTGTTATGACATAGTCAAAAACGAATGGTGATTCACAGGACTTGAACCAGGCATCCTGAACCAGGTTATCTTACCACCAGACCAGCCACGTCTCTTCTTATATTCGTAGTTTATTGATATATACAGTACCATTGGAGGGTTGTTATGAAGATCGGGTTTAATTTATTTTACTGTAAGACTGAAGTTCTTTCTTTATCTTCAGCTCAAACTTCATAAGATTTTACATACTATGTGTTCATGTATGTAAAGTGTGTAAATTATATTATTTTACCTTTCAGAGTATTATTGAAATATTATACTGTATAGACTGTTAATTTATGTGCAAATATCACAAACGCTGACTGCTATATAAGTGAGATCGATGTTACGAATGTGTGTGTGTGTGTGTGTGTGTGTTTGAATGAGTGTCTTTAATTTTTACTTCAAATCCCAAAGCTAGAATGATTTTAATATAAGAAATAAACCAAGAAACTGCAATAATTATCGTTACTTTTTGGTGCCAAATAATTTTTCTGTTTTAGTTGAGTATTGTTGTTGAATTTATTTGTCGTTATGATTTTCTCATTATTTAGTTTTCTGTGACTGATCGCAAAATCAAAACGTTGAAATGTTATTGATTGATTTACCTGAGTTGTATTAAAATATTTTAAAATAGCAGGCTTTTAACCAAAGATAAAATGTATAATGATGTACGTCTAGGGTTGTCTACTTTTAGTTTAAATCAATACATTTTAAATCTTTCTGTTTTAATGCCTGAGACATTTGACAGAATCTTTTTTAGAATATTTCAAAGTTTTATATGGGTCATTGCATTACTGACAATGTATATTAGTGTAAAATTGTATTAGTTAACTTGTTTTTATTTTTAACTAAACAATACTAGATTCAGTTAATTGTTTTTTGTACTTAGGTGTTATTTGAGGTCATTTAGCATGATCTCTTTTATACAATTTCTTAAAATCATTTGATAGGTTTTATATCTTGGCTATCAAATAACTTTGGGGTCCAAAACAATGCAATTATTTTTAATGAAGCAAATTTCGACTGAAATTAGACACTATGTCGTCATCTTTGGAATTTTTACATTCAGCAGTAATCAATAAATTTCAAAATGTAGACTAGTATTGCTTCACTATTTGTATGCAACCGGTTAATGAGCATATTAGAATAATTCTGTACTACATTTAAAACTAATAAAATAAATATTACACTTGTTTTGATGAGACCTCCAAATAAAAAAAAAAACAAAAAATATAGCTACAGTTAGATTAAAATAACATCGAGAACAATCCTTGTATGATGGAAAACGGGTAATGTACATGAAATACCAAAGTTAATAGTTAACACAAAAGACCCTTCCTTTGTTATGCTATAAAGTTTACACCTTGGGTATTGAATAAAAAATACTTTATCTGTGCCATCCAAAATGATTACAATAAAAAAAATTACATTCTTTAGGCGTTAAAATTACATTGTTTTCCGTCATTTGCAAATACAGTATACTTATTTTTGCTATATACATGTTAGAGTGAACATTTTAAAATCATCCAACATAATAGATAAAAGCCGTCTTACCTAACACCTTTCACAGCAACAGGCATTTATATGACACAGCCACTGCCATAATCTGTTCTTTACCGTCAACTGTACAAATCTTAACAGTTACGAGATATTTTACGATTGTCAGCGACAACAAATTTATATGTACATAAACTGTGTAGATATTATATTATACATTGAATTAGCTTTAATATATCTTTGATACTTTTATTAATTTGAATACACTTTAAAATATATATAGGATTGTTATTAATGATAGTAAATGTTTTAACATCTTATCGTTCCTGTGTGGGTAGAGATAGAGTAATGACCCGAACGTGTTGCGGTCACTCCTTCCAACCGAAGCTTGCGTGTGCGTAGAGGCGTACATTCCATAACGATCCAGTCAACTTTTTATCATAAATCCACTCTGTGAACCTAACCCTTGACTGTGCTTTGCGATATCAATGTAAATATGTTTGCGGTGAAAATTGAATTTTTTTGTTTAAGTGTGTTCGAAATTATACTCAAACAGTATTTTTAAATACCTATTATTTTTGTATAACTTTGTTAAAAGTTGCAAGTAGGCAAAGTATGTTTTCTAACACAGAACACAATGGTTTTGTACATAATATTTTACTGAGTAATTTAAGTTGTTGCAAACTGTAAAATATTATTTTATAAAATCGGTATACCGTTACAGATTACAATTTTTTTGTGATGAGAATATGTGATCATTCTTTGAAAAGCTGTATGCTTCGAGATTTTCTATGTGTATATTAATATAGCAAAGTAACTGTTTCAAAAGTATTTGTGGGTAAAATAAGTTAGGATAATGTGTAAGTAAGCAGTGAATAAAATTTGGGTAATTAAAAAAATCTACTTTTTTGCCGTTAAGTAATTATTTTTCAGTATTTGAGGAGTGTTAACTTTTTAAATGGATGATTTATTTGGCTTTGAGGAATAAATGAAATGAATAAAGTAAACACCACCCTTTGCATATTTTATTAGATAAACTAATAACTAGATAAACCTTCATTCCTAAAACCAAAACTCTAGGTTAAAATCCACACCAGGTGTCAAACAGTCAAAACCGATGTCAATTTTAACGATTGTTAACAACTGCCAAGTTGTAGAGTCAGAAAATGTAAAATCTTGTCCTTCCTCACACAAAGATTTTGCTCATGGATCGTAGTTAGTAGATGAAACTGTGTTACTGTGTATTTTGTTCTTTGTATCTCGTAGTCTGTTTTGATTACATACATATAAACCTAAGAAGCATTTTTTCTAGCAGTTTAATTAAAATTTATTTGTTGTTTGATGTAGATGAGGTCATAATAAATCTATTCTTATGTAACCAAAGTTTTGTTTTGTTTCAACCACCTTTTCCTAATTTGCCGTAAAGTAGGTTATTTATACATTTTGTTGTAGTGTAGACCTGTTTGAGTTTCTTGTAATAACAAGTGACTCACCCATGCTGGGGTACCTTGGGACGATGGTACAGAGGTTCCTTGGTCAAACAAAAAATAATTACAACTACCAGAAGGAATAATTATATTTACTACAATTATATACCAATAATTATATTCTGGCAAAAATTCCAGAATTTACTTTGGATAGAGTTTTTTGTACATAATTTTTTTTTATTAAATAGTATATTTCATTACTAGGACCGAAAGTGGCATTTTCCGTCGCGCGCTCAAGTTTTTGTATGAGGCGAAGCCGAACACAGGGAACATCAATTTCACGTACGAGGCAAAGCCGAGGACGGGAATAATGGAGCAAGTGTCGGATAATAACTTTCGGTACGAGTTATGAACGATACTTTTCATCACGACGCAAAAATATAACACAGAATAGAAGACCTCAGTAATATTACAACTATTTTATTTCTCAATTAATTTGATTGAAGATCAAAATAAAATAAAATAAAATTTTCTAAAAGGAAACCTACGTATATTTCTCAATACATTTGGTTTAAATATCAAAATAAAAGAATAAAACAACTTTGAACAATACATACACCTGATTCAAATCATTAAATTAAACCATAACAAAACACTAGCGCGCGTAGTGAATAAATGGAGAACTAATTGAGAGCGAGGGAAAGTAAATTTAGAGCGAGGGAAAGTAAATTTAGAGCGAGGGAAAATCAGCTGATCGATTTTCCCTCGCCCTAAATTAGAGCTTGGAAAACGAATACTTTCATTGATGTCAGCTGTTATCGAAAATAGTTACTTTCGTTACGGAGTGATGAAAAAGGCTATTCACATTGCTAGATGTTTTTGCAGTGATGTTATTATTGTATACTTACTAGTTTTTAGCAAATTTAATATAGGGAAGAAGCTATTACCATAGGTATAATACTCTAATGTAAGACTTAAACCCGAGACAGATATACTTTTTCATTTCGATGTTCCCAGAGGCCAAAAATACCAAAAAAAACTATTTATGTTTTATTTATATATATTAATCTGTCTGTGTATGTTAATCTAATGTCTGTCGGGCCAAAAAGTTGAGGTACACAATGAGAACTTTACTTTTTTCTATGGTTTAGGTGCAGAGTGGTAGAACATTGGGGCTATGGTAGATGTGTGCTACACTAGAACAAATTTTCTTAAGCCGTGTCCTCTCCCATAACTGTAATAAGCATTTTATACTTATATTTCAACCCCGTACGAAAGACGGGTACTCTGCTAGTATTACATAGGCCTACTTATAATAAAAATACAAACAAAAAGTATTTTTGGCCAGCAAGATCCGTGTCAACAATGGAACGTGTTGTAAGCTTTCAAATAAAATAAAAAATTGATTTACTTTTTTATTTTTATTTTCAAAACATGAAAATACCCTAACATCCAGGGCTTAAAACACAAACAATTTTGTATTTTGAAGTGTTGTTAAGTTAAGGGTTACAGATAAATTATTTACAAAAATACCCTTGCCGCAGCAAACCTGCCGTCTAATTAAGAGTATTTCCATTTGCCTGAATTGGTTTTCAATTAATCCATTGAAATAACATTAGGTTTAACAAGAAACCTAGGTTTGCTGCTATAAAGAAACTAATAAAGTGAGTTTTTAAGTAAAAAAAAATGAAAAAGAAATCGGTCCTGGGCCTAGGTCTTTACCGTGCCACTTACCGTAATAGCTACTTCCCTATAGGGAAATTCGCTAAAAACACAGAACATTTAAAATGTCTATGTTATTCTCATGGAGAAAAAGTAAACTGTTATTGTTTGTTGTGTTTGAAAACTGTTGTAAATTGATAAATTTTGAAACAATTCGGTAATTTTTTTTTATTTCATTCTATATTATTAACATTTAACCAAAAACCACTTTTTCAATTTTTCTGTAGCCCTAAGTACAGTACTCGTTAAATATAATGTTCAGGATATGACTTGTTATGGGAATATTATAGTGAAAATCCAATCAAACAAATTAAAATTGGCTTAGTCTGTAATAGATAGTTTGCTGCAGCACTGCGGCAAGGGTAGGCCTATTACTATTTAACTTAAGTTACAGCTTTTATGATTTTGGAACCAGCATTGAAAGGCCGTTGACTCATCTTTACAGTGTTACAAAACTGATGAGTTTGACTGACCCACTGTCCAGTGCCCACATGATTACTTTCTCTCTGCCCACAGATGTCACCCACTTTGCCCACTGCTGCCCACTGATCTTATTTGCATAAAGTTATAAACTGATAACAGCTCCGTTTCAAAATTTCTCTATTTTATTTTATTTATTTTTTGTAGGTATCTGTTTTAGTAAAATAACGAGAGCTCGCCCCGTGGTCAAAAACTTGACCAAAAGTATGTATTGTTCAAACTTCTATATTTAACCCCACGCTGTAAATAAAACATGCGATTAGAATTTCTTCCATAACCTAATTTTGGTACAACGCGTGTGTAAATCGGTCCAGTAATATGGTCAAGCTAATTGTCATAAGTTTTCCAAAAGCTTTTTAATATATAAGATTCACTAAAGGAATAGTAAACTTTTCAGGCACATGGGAAACATTTCATTTAACACAATGTAAATCTGTCCAATAGATCTCCAGATCTTACTCCTGTTAGACTTTAACACGTTCACTACTGCAATAGTACGAAATTTTTCATTCCCATGGACCAGCGACATACATAGGCGACGGCCGGTTTCCACTCATAGACTGCCGTCGCATATATGCGACGGTTAGTCACATTAAAATAGACTGCCGTCGCATATTTGCGTCGGGGTTCTAATGTTATTAAAATGCTTATATCTTTGTAACGGTCTATTTGAAGGCACTGAATTTCCTGCAGTGGTCTACAGAGATGTCTGACGCACAACTGCGTCGCTTGGTCTGTGGATATGATGATTGGTGACGTCAGAATGATAGTTGAAAAAACTGGTCTTTACTTTTCTGCATCACTGTATGTATGTATGCTGCATTATCCTATGTAGCTTTTATATTTGTTCAGTTATAAACTGTTCTTGAATAATCTGTTCTTTTTGCTTACTTTCACCTCAAAACACAAACAAAATTGAACAAAATCGACGTTTGGTCTATTTGAAGAAAACTATGATAATTTTCACTATTGTCTTCGCTGTAGACCGGGCGTCACAAATATGCGACATTACAAAAGGTTATAAAAAATACAAAAAACAAGAATGAATTATTTACAAACACGATTGTAGCGTATTACAATGTAAATGATCACTGTTTTACAGGTTTTTGCCCGTGGTCTGTGTGTACTGTTAACCAAGTGACAGCCGGTCTATGCGCAAGATTCAAATGTATACCTCAGTCTGCGGCAATGACCGTGGCGTCGCATATATGCGACGCTCAGTAGCAAACGTGTTAAACCCCATGTTAAATTGTCAATAGATTTTTTAATTTCTGTTTTTATAACACTTAGTCAAGTAATATCTGAAATCGAAGCAAAATGGACAAATATAGAGACCATTACATTTGGTAGTAACCGCGTGTAATTCGGTCCAGTTGTATGGTCAGGCTAGCTGTAGTAAGTTTTAAAATGTTGTCCCATGTTAAATCTCCATAAGAAAAGTCACCATAAGAATTGTTATATAATATGTTCCTAGAGGTCGTTTTTGAAAACCTAACCAAAAATATGTTACCTATGTACAGACTTCTCTATTTTTCCCACACACTGTAAACTGCAAATAAAACTTGTGATTGGAATATCTTCCATTTGTTTTGATTTTCTGTTTATATTTTTTTGTTATTTCGTCATCACCATGGCAACCCATAAGACCCATGTTATTTTTTTAAAGATTTCAAATTCATTTTTCAGGCTTATTTGTGAGCCTAATTCAATTTATAAAGGGATTCTGCACATCTACAGATAAATATCTTTCATTTGGTACCAACTTGGTGTAATTGGGTCCAGTGGTATGGTCAGGCTGGCTGTCATAAGTTTTGCAAAAGTTTTTTAGTATATAAGATATGTTTGGAATTGGAAAATTTTAACTTTAAACTTGACTTTTGGACTTAAGTAGACATCCTGTATGGACCAGCTGTAGCAATTTTTTTTACTTTAGTAGAACCTTTGACTATTTGATAGAATTTACGTTCCATCCCCAAATTAAAGTTGTCACCGGTTTTAAATCAAAATCATTGTAGTTGATGTGAGTTACCAACAGATTGTGCTGATCTAATTTTACTAATTTCTGTTGAATACAAGAACCTTTTCCCCAAGTCAAGTCAAACTAATGGAATGACCTGTTGTGAGCTATAGCAACTGATGACCCACCAACTTGGTCAGCCACAAAAATAAGGTTTAAATAGAGTTTTAGTTTTAGATACTAGCGCAATCTGTGACTGGTCCACTCAACTATTTAGCTGCTTTAAAAAAATAAATGGTAATAGCTGATCCATGTATATGGGATTTCTACTTCAGCTAGTATCCAATAGTCAGTGCCAAAATGTATTTATTTATTGAAATACTTGACACTTTTTAATACTTTTCATTGAAATGGTGACCATACAAAGTAGGTATTTTAAGCCAAGTATGAATGGAGTGTAGGATGAGTGGTGCGATCTTGTAGTCTTGTTAGTGACTAAGGCCATAGATAAAATACCCCCGCCGCAGCAAACCTGCAGACTAAGCAAATTTCCATTTGCCTGATTTGATTTTCAATTAAATCTATTCAAATAACATTAGGTATAACGAGCACCTAGGTTTGCTGCCCACAGTGTAATAAAGTGTGTTTAAAATAAAAACACATATTTTATAGTAAAATATTAATAGCTTAGTATAAAATAAATAGATTGGGCAAGTTTGATCCAAATATATGCATAAACAAGCAAACTACGACAGTTTACTTATTCTCCTTAAGAATAACATGGGAATTTTTAGTTTACAATTTTCTCCGTAACCAATAACCATACAAAACCCCCGCCGCAGCAAACCTGCAGACTAAGTGAATTTCCATTTGACTGATTGGATTCACACTGACTGAAATGTCTACTTAAAAATATAACATTTATTCCCTATTTAAATAGAATTAGTTTAACAAGTACTTAGGTTTGCTGCATCAGGGAGGGTAAAACTATTTTTTTTTTGTAAAATGTTAATAGTTAGTAAGAAATAAAAACATTTTCCAAATTTGATCAAAATATGTTCATAAACAAGCAAACTACAACAGTTTACTTATTCTCCATAAGAATAACATGGGAATTTTAAATTTAACATTTTTTTGAATTTTCTCCGTAACCATTAGGCGCATAATAACGCTTCAATATACTAAATTATTTGTAAGCTCTACAAAATGGTTTGGAAAGAAATTGCTAAATTTTATGTTTTTTGGGTCAAAAATGGGAAAAACCTATTTTTACCCCATAAAATCCCCCGTAAACCCCCGTTCCCATGGTCCGATCATGCTGGATCGCGAACTCGTTCGAATAAACGTAGGTTTACACGTTTGTAGCAAATTTCATCAAAATCGGATCGTGCTGAGGGACACATATATATATATATATATATATATATATGAATTTGAACGGATGGTGTTTTTGGCCTCTAGGGACCTCAAAACGAAAAAAAAAATCGGTCCCGCATCCAGGTCTTGCCATGAGTACTACGGTAATAGCTTATCCCCTATATGGGAAATTCGCTAACATAGTCCCTTAGTAGATTTCCCATGCTTGGAACAGCCCAAGCCAATTTTATTGTTAGTTCTGTCCGGTTTTCTGAAGATATCGTGTTTTGTTTACAATTTGTTTCTATTATTTTAGGGTTAGTTTCTCATTATTTGTGTTGCACTGTTTGGTTATATAGCTAGTGGACTAGTTATTGTTTATGATTAGATAGTTTTATTTGGTTAAACGAGGTTTTAAATTACTGTAATAACAAGAAACAAATTTTAAACAAAATACGACATCTACAGAAAACTAGGCAGAATTAACAATAAAATTGGCTTCAGCTGTTCCATAAGGATGGGAAATCTACTATGTTTTACACCTATGCTAAGGCCGACGTATTCCTTAGACACAGCTGTAAATTAATAGCCCATACAGCTAATGGTAACTAAGGGACCTACAGTTTATCTAAGGGTTTATGAAAAAGTCAACCTTTAATTCATTACATAGGTACAAAATCACATCTACAACACATGTCTTGAAACTGACGCAAATTGGCAAATCTTAAGCAAGGTGAGCTAACGCAACACCAATTAAATGTCATAATTGGGCAGGAATTACTGAGGTATTATGGACAGCAGGTCAATTAGAGAAAGTCTGACTACATTTGTATAATGCTAACCAAAAGGAGAGCTGAAAACGCTATTGTGTTAGAAAATTATTTAAGTTTTTAAGGTAAGCCTAATTCATCAGATAGATTTTCTCTCAAAGAAAATAAGCTAGGTACTGCAGGGGAAAATGTCAGTGACAATAAACACATTGAATTTAGTTCAAGCAATGGCATAATAAGGTATGATAAATGTATGACTGATTTTAATACGTTTTTTATATGATGTTTCCTGTTAAGGAAAAATGTTAGCATTGTGATTTTGTAAATGTTTCCGTGGAAACCAATCAATAAAACTATTCTCTCAGCTTACCATGACAACCATAGCCCAGAGAGGGCTATGACAATGATATAGGTTGATTTTGAAACTAGAATAGATAGAATTTAACTTCCCCAGTCCTACATACAACAATAATTATAGTTTCCCAAGGTTTCAGTTCAGTTCAGTTGAATCGGTTTCATAAAGGGCCATTCATCAGATTACTGCAAATTTTTAAAAATCCATGTCTAGGTGTATTTTGTCTTATTTTATTCTTATTTTTGTGTATATTTTGATAACCTTGCCCACATCAGGCCTTTTGAAAATATTAACTTTTTGCCTTTTAGAATCGTTGACTTTTCCCTAGAAACGTTTTGAAATTATAAATTTTGCAGTTGAAAATGCTTCTTGTTTTAAATTGCTTCTCAGATGATTGAAACAAGAAGTTGAAAATTATGTAAAACTAATAAAGAGTTCATTTTTCTATTACAATTTCATCGATTTCAGAGAAAACATTCCAAAAACAATGTCAATTCTAGCAATTTTTGATCAATAAGACTATTTTGAAATTAAAGTTCATACTCTGTTGCAAAGATGGCTAAAGCTAATCTTTAAAGCATTCAGATTTAACATATAGTAAAAATTATCATAGTAGGTACCTCCAATATTACAGCTTATTATTACAACTAAACTGTGATTAGGTAAACGGTAATTAAGATAAATGTAAATTAGGATGAATGTAATTTGGCGACTCTATTAATGGATGAAGCATTCTTGATAGGAGATCACCTGACGATGCCTGTATAGGAGAAACATGTACATGTAGTGAGTTTACCACAATTTGAACTGTTGACATAAACGTATGTACCTTATAATCGTCTAACTAAACAGTTCAGGGACTACTGTTTAAGGTAATTAGGAGATTCAATCTATCATAATACTTATCATCATCCCAACATTATCATTTAGAAAAGCACCTGAACACAAATGCTTACCACTAAACTTATTTTAAAATTACAAAGAATTTTTCTTATTCTGGAACCAATGTCAGTGACCATTAAGGAGGATAACTACTTTGTGTAAAGCACAGAGTTGACTTCAGTTCCAGACCAGGTTCAATATTGCAAAACATCAGAGGAACAACTTTTACTCTCTATGTAGATCAGCTGAGCTCACACACAGCATCACTCCTGTCAGGTAGGTCTTACCATAGACTAGCCAACACAAGTAGACTTCTCATCTCATTGTAAATTTTCAAGCTTGATTTTTGAGTCTAGTTCATGTTGGTGACACTGATCGCTAGTGTCGACGAAATGTTGTTTCTATTATTTTAGGGGTTATTTCATGGTTTGTGCTTTACTGTTTGGTTATATAACTAGGGCATGAATTGTTTATGATAAAATTGTTTATTTATTTTGTTAAACAAGTTTTTAAATTACTGAAATAAATAGTAAACAAAACATGACCCCTTCAGTGCACCGGACAGAACTAATAATAATATTGTCTTGAGCTTACCAAATGCTTTGCTTTACATGATTATTACAATTAAAAATGACAATATGTATATAATGTGTATATATGTACACAAATAATATATATGATTATGTATATATGTACAATATGTGTACAATGTGTATATAATGTATGTAATATAATGTAGATTATTTGGTTACTGCTTATAACATGTTCAATTGTATTAATTAATATTAAAATGTTTAATAATCAATTGTAATATTAGTGCTGTTTCACTAATATATGCATAAGGGTGAGAAATCCACTAAGGGAGTAAGTTTTATCTGTGGCAGTATCTTAGTTCATGCTGTTCAAATATTTAAATTGCTCTGAATAGAATAAAGTAACAAGAAAATAAAATAAAGTCTAAATGAATCAGTTGACGACAGTTATGATGCATTTTCTGTCTAATTATGTTAAGTAGAATATATTTGTTTATGCTCACTTTTATTCATGAATGTTGGTACTGTCTCCGATATTATGACAAAAATTAAAGAGCGTATAGTGTAAAAGTTACTGTAAAATTGGAAAAAAAACTTTTAGTCAATATCGTCAGTACCGGTACACTCAAACACTAAAATAAAACATGTATAAGACTTTGGGTTTCAGACATCACAATAGTAGTCTTTGCAGTATCAGAAATAACGTTTTGCACAGCATTTATGAAATCACTCAGATTATAATTTAGGTACTGTACTGTGTTATTGCATGTATAATTAATTTACTGTAGAAAAGAAATAATGCTACATACTTTAATTGCATTGTCATCTAAAAAAATAATAATTGTGAATTTTTTAAATGTATATTTGGCTGACACCCAGGTTAAATGAAAATAAAATAAGCAAAAATAAAATGTTCAGTCAACAGCATTCTAGCTTGAGATAAAACACATAAAAAAGGGATTTCTTCAAAAGATTGACTCATCTAAAGTCAATAATGTATTAAGTGTACAAATGACATTATCAATAATCCTTCCTTATGTATCAGGATATCCATTTACGCCATAAAACTGGATTTTCAAGTGGTAATTCCATTTCCTTCTATATAATTTCGGTAGAGTTAGGTATAATTATATTGGAAACACTAACTGGACTGGCAAGGAATCAGAAAGTGACCAGATAATAATTACAACAATATTATTACATAACTTCTTCTCTAGATATTATTTGCAGTTATATTTTAAGTACCTGGGGACCGAGCTTTGCTCGGGGAAAATTATTACTTTACTCTGAAAAGTATTGCAGATACATTAATCCACTCCCAATCTCCACACTGCTAACCTTCACTACTTACTTCACCACTCCCTACGTCGTGGACCTGTTTGCCCTCCTTCCCTATACCATTTTAGAATTGCAGATACATAAATGCCACAGACAGTTCCCACACTCTGCACTGCTAGCATTACTACTTCCTACACCATTTCCTACGTCATGGACCTGTTTTCCTCTCCTCCCTTCTCGTAGCATTTTAGGACTGTAGATACCTTAATGTAGTTCCCATAAACAGTTCCCAGGCTCCAGACTGCTCGCCTTTACTACTTCCTTCACCACTTCCTACGTCGCGGACCTGTTTCTCCCCCTTCCAATGGCATTTTAGGATTGCAGATACCCTAATCTAATCGTCATTAACAGTTCCAACACTCCGGGCTGCTTGCCTTTACTACTTCCTTCACCTCTTCCTACGTCGCAGACCTGTTTCCCTCCATTCCCATAGCATTTTAGGATTGTAGATACCTTAATCTAATCGTCATAAACATTTCCCACACTCCGGACTGCTCACCTTTACTACTTCCTTCACCACTTCCTATGTCGCAGACCTCTTTCCATCCCTTCCCATAGGATTTTAGGATTGTTGATTCTTTAATCTAATCGTCATAAACAGTTTCCACACTCCAGACTGCTCGCCTTTACTACTTCCTTCACCACTTCCTACGTCGCGGACATGATTCCCTCCATTCCAATAGCATTTTAGGATTGTAGATAACTTGATCTAATCGTTATTAACAGTTCCCACACTCCGGACTGCTCACATTTACTACTTCCTTCACCACTTCCTACGTCGTGAACCTGTTTCCCTCCCTTCCCATAGCATTTAAGGATTGCAGATTCCTTAATCTAATCGTCATAAACAGTTTCCACACTCCAGACTGTTCGCCTTTACTACTTCCTTCACCACTTCCTACGTCGCGGACCTGTTTCCCTCCATTCCCATAGCATTTTAGGATTGTAGATTCCTTAATCTAATCGTCATAAACAGTTTCCACACTCCAGACTGCTCGCCTTTACTACTTCCTTCACCACTTCCTACGTCGCGGACCTCTTTCCATCCCTTCCCATAGGATTTTAGGATTGCAGATTCCTTATTCTAATCGTCTTAAACAGTTTCCACACTCCAGACTGCTCGCCTTTACTACTTCCTTCACCACTTCCTACGTCGCGGACCTGTTTCCCTCCATTCCCATTGAATTTTAGGATTGTAGATTCCTTAATCTAATCGTCATAAACAGTTTTCACACTCCAGACTGCTCGCCTTTACTACTTCCTTCACCACTTCCTACGTCGCGGACCTCTTTCCATCCCTTCCCATAGGATTTTAGGATTGCAGATTCCTTAATCTAATCGTCTTTAACAGTTTCCACACTCCAGACTGCTTGCCTTTACTACTTCCTTCACCACTTCCTACGTCGCGGACCTGATTCCCTCCCTTCCCATAGCATTTTAGGATTGTAGATAACTTGTTTTAATCGTTATTAACGATTCCCACACTCCGGACTGCTCACCCTTGCTACTTCCTTCACCACTCCCTATGTCGTAGACCTGTTTGTCCTCCTTCTTTATACTATTTTAAAATTGCAGATACATAAATGCCACAGACGGTTCCCACACTCTGCACTGCTAGCCTTACAACTTCCTTCCCCATTTCCTACGTCATGGACCTGTTTTCCTCCCTCCCATTACATTTTAGGATTGCAGATACCTTAATTTAATCGTCATAAACAGTTCCCACACTCCAGACTGCTCGCCTTTACTACTTCCTTCACCACTTCCTATGTCGTGGACCTGTTTTCCTCCCTTTCCATAGCATTTAAGGATTGCAGATACCGTAATCTAATCGTCATAAACAGATCCCACACTCCACACTGCTACCCTTGACTATAGAATCTAGTAATCTTCAGTATAATCTTTGCTCAATAGTAACAACTGATGTTTTTCCTTTTGTACTGTATTTTGTTTTGCTAGTATACTGTGGATAGACAAATTACAAGCTACAAGTCTTTTGTTTACTTTTTCCTTGTTATTTAATTCAGCCAACATGGTTACCTAGCAACCCATAAGACTAATGTTAAAAAAATGTGATTTTCAATTTCATTTTTCTACGTAATTAGATTTTTGATGGCAGTTCTAATTGCAGTAAACTCATTTTTAGGCCAGAAATAAACTATATACAACATTTGAAGAAAATCGTCGGAGCCGTTTTCGAGATCTTGGTGCAAGCATACATACATACATACATACATACATACATACAAGCAAACTTTGCTCGTATTAGAGTATAGGATTTTTGCAAACCCTATGTTTTATCTTTAACATTAAAAATAACATGCATTTTGACTTATGATAATATGGGAAACTATTTATCTTGCAGTAAAGTCGTGCTGTTTTGGTCAATTGCAACTACTTCTAATTTTTAACAATCCATTCTTACAACACCTTGAGAAGACTTTTATTCCCAATGTTTTGGAAAACATGTTTGCATAGGTTTTTGCAAAATCTATTTTACAGAGTGCATATATTTAAGTGTATCATTTTTCAGCTACAGAGAAGTCTTCAATGTTCTATGAGTTTCTGGAATGAAGGTCATTTGGTTACATTTTATCACACTTGGATTCTTCATCATAGTATGTGGTTGCAAGGCCTCTACCAAATCAGTGAGTGTTAAAATAATAATTTGTCTACACAGGACTATATTTTCGTAATGAAACAGTGAATATGAATCTATGTAATATAATGTAATGTAATATAATGTATATAATGTAATGTAATATATAATGTAATATAATGTATGAATCTATGTAATAGTAGTATCCATTGACTATTGGATTTAATAATCAAAGGTAATACTAAATGATAAAAATGTTTTTAGCGAATTTCCCTATAGGGAAGTAGCTATTACCGTAGGTCTCATGGTAAGACCTAAGCCCGGGACCGATTTACTTTTTCATTTTGATGTCCCCAGAGGCCAAAAACACCATTCGTTCAAATTTTTATATATCTATATATAGATATATATATATATATATATATATATATATACTAGCAGAGTACCCGTCCTTCGTACGGGGTTGGAATATGAAGTATAAAATGCTTATTGCAGTTATACTCAAGCTATGCGTTTGCAATATAGTCCAGGCAAATTAATATGCTCCCCAAAAAATCGTCTAAAGCTGGAAAGTGTTTTAATACCTTTTGGGGGTCCCAAATAAGACTCCTGTGAGTTTGCGACGGATTCTGACGTCTGCTTAAGTTTTGGGAGTCGAACTATGAACATTTTGCACTTTTTTCAGTTTTTCGCTTATAACTCCTAAATAATTAATCCTAAGGAAAAAGTTGTTCAAAGGTGACTTTTAGTGCATTAAATTCCGCGTCGATTGATGTTAAATACGTCAAAATCGGCCGAGCCGTTTAGCCGCTGTAGCTTTTCAAAGTTGGGATATTTTCAATAACATGGCCAAAAGGTTGATTATTTGACCAGTTTTCGGTTTACAACTCCTAAACGACGCATGCTATACAAAAATGCACCTGTAGTTAGTTTGGAAAACACAAAAAATTCTGCGTATTTATTTTTTTTTTATTAATCAATAACGGCAATTGATTGTTACCTACTTTGTATGGTCGCCATTTCATTGAAAAAAGTATTAAAGTTAAAGTTGGGAAATTTTACTAAAATTGACATTGGCAACATAGATACTGTCCTTAAAAGGATTATGAATTATTAGATAGTGGTTTATTCCATGATGGTCATCCAGAGGTTTATCTAATAAGGTGTGATGAGAGTAAGACACCCTATGTAATTTTGAGTCTAATATTTTTGTCTGAGGTTCCGAAAATTCTAGGATTCATATCCCAAACACCCATTATACAGGGTGAGTTTTAATTGTCCCCCCAACTTTTTTCTACATTTTTTCGAATATCAATCCCAGACCACTTCCAAACATTGTTGAGTAGTAAGTACTTCATTTTGACAAGGTGGTCATTTCCGGCCGCCATCTTGGATCCGCCATATTGGATGCAAAATATGTTTTTCAAATGTAAAGGTGGGGTTGTGACCCAATATTTCGAACTAGATTTTTACTCTAATTACAATGCCCCAAACCGTTTTTAAAAATGTTGATTCATTTCAAAGTTATGGGGGCTTTTTAAAACTTTATTTTTACCCCATTTTAACATTGTGCATGTACAAACTAAGACCATAATCTCAAAATAGTGCTAGATAAAGATAAGTATACACTACCAGTCATTGTCGACCTATTTTCACTTGGTTATGACTGATGTATTTTTTTCGGCCGCCATCTTGGATCCGCCATTTTGAAATGTGATAAATTATTTTAAATGTGAAGGGGGTGTTGTGACCCATCATTTCGAATTACTTTTTTAAGTTAAACTTAATTCCATGATCCGTTTTTCATTTTCATATTTTGATTTTGAAATATAGACATTTTTAACAAAAAATTGCAATATCTGAAAATAAAACTTGGTAACAAAAAATGGATTGCGGCATTGAGTTAAGCTTAAAAAAAAGTTCGAAATGATGGGTCACAACCCCACCTTTACATTTGAAAAACATATTTTGCATCCAATATGGCGGATCCAAGATGGTGGATCCAAGATGGCGGCCGGAAATGACCACCTTGTCAAAATGAATTACTTACTACCCAACGATGTTTGGAAGTGGTCTGGGATTGATATTCGAAAAATGTAGGAAAAAGTTGGGGGGGGGGACAATTAAAACTCGCCCTGTATAATGGGTGGTTGGGATATGAATCCTAGAATTTTCGGAACCTCAGACAAAAATATTAGACTTAAAATTACATAGGGTGTCTTACTCTCATCACACCTTATTAGGCAAACCTCTGGATGACCATCGTGGAATAAACCACTATCTAATAATTCATAATCCATTTAATGACAGGATCTATGTTGTTACCAATTTTAGTAAAATTTCCCAACTTTAACTTTAATACTTTTTTCAATGAAATGGCGACCATACAAAGTAGGTAACAATAAATTGGCGTTATTGATTAATAAAAAAAAACATCATACGCAGAATTTTGTGTTTTCCAAACTAACTACAGGTGCATTTTTGTATAGCATGCGTCGTTTAGGAGTTGTAAGCCGAAAAGTGGTCAAATAATCAACCTTTTGGCCATGTTATTGAAAATATCCCAACTTTGAAAGGCTACAGCGGCTAAACGGCTCGGCCGATTTTGACGTATTTAACATCAATCGACGCGGAATTTAATGCACTAAAAGTCACCTTCGAACAGCTTTTTCCTTAGGATTTATTATTTATGAGTTATAAGTGAAAAACCGAAAAAAGTGCAAAATTTTCATAGTTTTTCGACTCCCAAAACTTAAGCAGACGTCAGAATCCGTCGCAAACTCACAGGAGTCTTATTTGGGACCCCCAAAAGGTATTAAAACACTTTCCAGCTTTAGACGATTTTTTGGGGAGCACACCCTATATTTGATCTAATTTGCCTGGACTAATAATGGAGGACACAGTTTGATAAAATTTGCTTTTTTAAATTTACAGTTTTCTATAGTATTACACATCTACCATAGCCATAATGTTCTACCACTTCACCTAAACAATAGAGAAACATAAACGATCAACAATTCACAAAATATCACAAATTATTCATGAAATGAAAAACTGGTAAATCTTATAACTTTTTAATGCTTTTCCATATCATAGAACCAACTTTTTTAGTTGAAACAGCTGACTAAATTATTTAATTCCCTTTAAATATGAATACTCATAAGGTTAACATTTTACATTTTACAGAGCCTGAAGAAGAAGAATTACAGAGAATTACAGAGCCACTGGGGCGGAGCCCGAAAGGATTTTTGAGATAAGAATATGCCTATATGTTAATCGGGAATGTAAGCTATCATCATGCCAAATTTCAGCCCAATCCGTCCAGTGGTTTATGCGTGATTGAACTTCAAACAAACAAACAAACAAACAAACAAACACACAAACTTTCACATTTATAATATTAGTAAGATATATATGTGTCCATCCGCACGATAACTTGAGTAATTTTTGTCCGATTTTGATAAAATTTGGATTGAAGGTGTAAGGCGGGATAAACTTGAATGAGTTCGCGAACCAGCATGATCGGACTATGGGAACGGGGGTTTATGGGGGGTTTTATGGGGTGAAAATAGGTTTTTCCCATTTTTGACCCTAAAAACACAAAATTTCACAATTTCTTTTTAAACCATTTTGTAGAGCTTAAAAAAACAAATAATTTAGTATATTGAAGCGTTATTATGCGCCTAATTGTTACGGAGAAAATTTAAAAAAATTGTCATTTTAAAATTCCCTTGTTATTCTTATGGAGAATAAGTCAACTGTTGTAGTTTGCTTGTTTATGAACATATTTTGATCAAATTTGGAAAATACATTAATTTCTTACTAAACCACAGTACCTTTTAATATTTTACATTTAAAAAAACTTGTTTACCCTCCCTGTTGCAGCAAACCTAAGTACTCATTAAACTAATTCTGTTTAAATAGGGAATAAATGTGATATTTTTAAGGAGACATTTTAGTTTAAATCCAATCAGGCAGATGGAAATTCGCTAAGTACGCAGGTTTGCTGCGGCGGGGGTATTGTATTTTAAAATTATATATAAAAATGATTACTTATCAGTTGTATGTTTAGCTCTAGTTTAAAAATTCTCATTTCCCGTGCATAATTGAACCAGAAGTAAACCAGCTGAACTTACATCTTTAGAACTGGAGATTTGTGAGAACATTCCTATACGGGTTGTGTTTTTGGTTCCTACTTACAATTTTGAGCATTCATTTTAATAAATTCAACAGAATGCAGATGCATAAGAACATTATTTGTTACAATAGATTTTAAATTGTCAAATGATTTAACAACATGCAAGTACAGTGTTTATTTTAAAATTAAAGCCAACAAATAACCTTTGAGCTTTCGGCTGTTTTTGTCAATGTATAAAACATGACGAAATATCTTGTTCTTCAAAACATCTGTGCTTTGGTAATGTCAAGGTCAACATCATGTTTGAATTTTTGTGTTAAGTTCATGAACAGTGTGCTGCTTTAGTAAGTATTCAGGGATGAATGTTTACTTCCAGGATTTAAAACTATAATATTACATTTTATTTTATGTACTGTAATTACAATTTTTGCAGGAAAATAAACTGTTACGAATAAAGAGGCAACAGCCTGGAGATGCTTTCATTGATGCAATATTCCAGGTATGTAAATAAACAGCAGCTCAACAATGAAAGGGACTTTGATAATGTAAAAAATTATACTTTTTAGATTAAAGAGAAGAGAAATGTGAAGAATTGAAAAGAAATTAAATTGAAATGGAAAAAATCTGTATTTACCCAGGCAAAGCTAGAACCGCAAGGTTCTTTCTTAAACATAACTCGACTTACGTAAAGCTATATAATAGCAAAGAAATACTGGTTTGGTTACTTAATCTAACATATGGTACATCTTTGTGCAAATAAAACTTGAGATGAAACAATTTATTACAAATCAGCTGATCTACTGGGCACATTGTTCACTTTCCTTCATTCAGAACCAAGTTTTCAAAAAACGTGGAAACACAATAATGTTTCACTTAGAAAATGTAGAATTATGAAACTCTACAATTAGGTATGTCTTTACTACAGATATTGACCTTTTGGCTGGAAAAAATCACTATCTGAACTATTTATAAATTTTTTATAACTATTTTAATGACACTAATTTTGTTTTTAGGCCGATTGGCAGGTATTGTATTATCTATTAGTACAAACTGTTTATGCAAATATTAGAAGATAAAAGTACTCTCCTCTTCTAGGTTCCTATCATGACATTGTCATCAGTGGGTACTCTGATCAAAACCAGTCGTCCTGTGATCATGAATGTGAGAAAGAGGATCATTGAAAGTCTTACCCCTCCTCAACAGAATGGTCAAAGGCCACAAAGGTAACGGTTACATTATTAAATTATTCTTATTTTTTCATTGGATACTTCTTTTAGGGACTTTCCAATTTAGGGAATAATCTATTTTCCATTAGTGTTATATTTATTATCCAACCAGTAGTCATTAAAATAGGATATTCTTTTCTGACCAATATGCTTTTCAATATTGCCTGATCCAGTATTACACAATCAGCTGATGAAAGTGGTACGAACTATATTTTACACATTTTTTGTTTGATGAGAGAAATCTATGATCTGTGAGTCAATTTAATCTTCGATAGGTGGGAAGCTGGAGTGGTCCCTTTCTTGATTCTGAGAAACTTAATTAGTTTTTATGATGGTTTATAACTGAAAACACCCGTTCTTCATCATTGGGCTTTTAAATTATGGTCCTGGCTGAAAAAAAGGTCTTGTTAGTCAGAAACAAAGATACAGATCACTAATTGACTATTGGCATAGACTAGCCAAAATTTATAAGTAGACTTCTCATCCCATTGTAAATTTTGAAGCTTGTTTTTCATGTCTAGTTCATGTTGGTGACACTGGGTGCTAGTGTCGTCAAAATTGTGTTTATATTATTTTAGGGTTTATGATTAGTTGTTTATGATTAGATTGTATTATTTGGTTGAAAGAGGTTTTAAATTACTGAAATAACAAGAAACAAATTGTAAACAAAACACAACCTCTACACAGTGCACCGGACGGAATTAACAATAAAATTGTCTTCAGCGGAAGACTCTACTAAGGGAGTATGTTTTATCTATGGTTTTACTGATGTAGATATCCCATCTATATGGACCAGCTATGGCAATTTTTTTACTAATAACAGCACGGTTGTATGAGCCAGTCACAGAATGTACTTCGATATTCTCTACCTTATTTTTTGTCGCTGACGTAGTTGATGGGTCATAACATAGTTGCTATAGGTCACAATAAGTCATTCCATCAGTTTGATCCTGTAAAGTTTGTGTATTGGGCAGAAATTAGTAATTTAGATCAGCACTATCTGTCGGTGGCTCACATCAACTACTTTAATTTTTATTTTAAAACTGGCACAACTTTAAAATGGGGATGGAATATCTAAAGTCGGAACCACAAAAGTTTGCAGTTGGCGGCAGCCAATCACAAGACAAGGCTAGTGCGACGTTGCCATATCGCCTGTTGACGACACTTATTAAAATACTAAACAATATTTTTAAATCAGCTGTTATTATTATATTTGGCAACACCACACTGTTCTCATTGGCTCCTTCGAAGTCACGTGGTAAATAGGCTCCTCCCTCAACTGCAAACTTTCGTGGTCCCGACTGTAGTTGTATCAATATTCAAAGAATCTACTCTCATCCACTTATATTTCGGTAAAAACAAGCAGTTTTTTACAGAATATAAGTTCTTCAACTTTGTCCTTGTCTCAATGGATTGTTTTAAAATCAAATTGATCTAAATGAACATAATGTTGTACTTTGCATGTGTAATTTTTAAGCTTTAATGTGTTTCAAGCATAATTGTTGGTGAAATAGAATGTGATATATGGAGCTTCTAATTAACAACCTTTTTAGAGTAACATGCAAACCACTCTCTCCTGTAAATCAGTGATTTTAAAAACAGTTACTGACGGATTGAACTCCTTACAAAATTAACTTACATTTTTTTCACTCTAGATATACACCCCAGCAAGTGGCTGGTGACAGAGTGGGTCTGACAAACTCTTTCTTCAACAAGCTTCACAATCAGCCCCATCGCTTCTCATTCTCTCCACATCGAACCTCGTCTAACGGAAACCGGATCTTCAGGGAATCATAAATGTTCAAAACACCCTTATTTGTAAATACAGTACTCATAGAACTTCTTTGTTGCTAACTTTGTTAACTTTTCATTTAAATATAAGTTTTGAAAATTATTATATGTGTTGGTGATTTCAAAATTCGTTCAATATTATTCATTTTAGTTTAGTTGTGAATGACCATTTTAGTACTTGAGTAATTATCTGGGAAGAAGAGTGGTTATTTTTCAAGATTTTGGAAGCAAATGTCATTCATCATTGGGCTATCAATATTAAAAGCTAACAAAAGGTTGGCAGTACGACCATAAGGTTGTGCATAACAGAAAGTTTCAAAATTTTAATGACATCAAAAACACAAAAGCACAACCAAGTTGTTTTAAAGTTGAAAGATAATAAGGCTATTCCTCATGATCTATACCTCGTCGTACTTGAATGAGAGAGTAATGGGTTTGGCGCTTAGAACTGGAACGTCTAATTTCCATTCAAATTCATTTGCATTTCTCATTTATACCAGGATTTTAAAAGAATGTTTGAAACTTAACCTGGAAATAAATGTTGTTGGTTTTAAACAATATTAGGTAAAATCTGGTGTACACACGGCTTTAATTTAAAAAAAGGCATGGATTTGAAGTCAATAAAAACTCAAATGACAAAAAATTATTTAATATGTTCAATCATTTTGACTGTAATACAAAAATAATATCAGAGGTAAACAAATTTTAATGCTACATGGACACTCCTGATGACTTAGGGTTTGTCCACCTTGTATGGAGCTGCTGGAGGTACAGCGACAGACACAGAAGACATGGCCTGACCTGGGTAGATAAGTTGTGGCTGCTTTGAGCCTGTCAACCCAGCAACAGCCTCTCCAAACGCATGAAGAAGAACAATAGGGATCTGAAAATATAAAGTTTAGTTTAAGTTAAAAAATAGAACTATTGACAGAAAAATGAAGTTAGTATGTTAGTATAGTGGTTATTTTTGGACTTCTGAACTGTTCTGCAGTCTTGGGATTGAAATCTGCTAATCTCAAAGGCTTTTAGCTCTTGTTGCGTCACAGTGAATGTGAGCCAACCTCTCATACCCAATAACCCATTGACTTACAAGTGTAGGTCGTCACTGAATTTTGCCTCGAGATAGTCCAACTAGTACTGGCCCTCAAGTAGTACATCGAATCTAACCTACAAGCGCTAGTCTTGTTGTGTCCTTATAGTGGAAATTGACCCGTTTGGCTGACGTTGGCTTGGTAGCTCAGTTCTTTCTACATGAGTGGGTTCAACTTCTGTACATGTGCAATCCATATTGAGTTAACTAATTGTGGCTCAGTTGGAGTGAAAGGCTCGCCTTAAATTTAGGGGCTTGATAAGGATTGTACACAACACCGGTTTTACTTCTTTTTTCTTTTCATTAGTATAGAGTGAGGAAGGAGATTTTTCTTTTTTGTCTTTTATTTTGGTTAACAGTACATATCGTGTTGAAATACATACGCTGTAGTAAACCTAGAGTACAAGCTTATTTATTTGATTTATTGATTGACTATAAGCCCTCTATGATGAAACCCATCTCTGGACGCTCTGTTTACCAGGGATAGCCAATAATCCAATGGTTCAAGGTCTGGGCCTGTCCCAGGCATTGAAGGATCAAGGGACAGGTTCCATCATACAGACTATAGCTATTGTTTTGATCGTGCTTACCTGTATTAGATCAGCAATAAACTGTCCAATTATCTCAGCATACTTCTTGTTTGCTGTGACTTCAACAGGTTTGATGCTTATTTCAGGGATATTCAGCCCAACTGAAGCTTCTGCAGCTTTGAACTGACCAGCCTGCAAAATTCATATAAATAATTTAGTAACACAAATAGTGCAAAAATATAGTTTGTGATACTTCTTGTAACCTTGTAAAAACATATAGGTAACAGTTCAAGATTTTTCTTCAAACTATAAACTCCTGATACCCAAACCCAAAATTCTAGAATAGTTTTGACTAATATAATTAAAATTCAACCAACCTCAAGAATAGTGTCTACTTCAGTACCTAGCCTATATCTGATGTCATCAGTCATAATCGGGAACATAAAGTCAATACTCAGCCTTGGCTTAAAATATACTTAAGTAGGGCTCATATTACTGATTATGGGAATTGCTGCAAAAATTCGAGGTAACAAGAGAATTAGGACCTTCGAATTTTCAGCTTTTGATCTATAACCAAAAAAATAATATGACAGGTATAACAGTTGTGTACTAACTGTATTAGCAGCTGGTGCTACTATGGCTGACACAGCATCATTCAGTTTTATTCTCAACTTCTTCAGAGAATCTTCAACATCCCTGATGGCAACATCAGGATCAGCTGTGTCTGGTTGAGGAGCAGAAGCAGACGACATATCAGCTGGTGACTTATCAACTGTTGGTGGTTTATCAGCTGTTGGGACATTAGCAGGTGCCATGGGTTCACTTGGAGCTCCCAGGACAGAACCCACCAACAGCAAACCCAAGAAACAAAATGTGGCCTGCATCTTCAAACAACTTTAAAGAATTGTATTAGTTGGTGACCGAACATTATAACATTTAACTAAGCCTGATGCTAATTCCAAATATCCTGTTAAAGTCTATAAAAAGTCTCACATGATTTTTACAAAGCAAGCAAGAGTAACCTAGCTAAACAGGGATTTAGCAAGAATATATAGTTTTAGGTTAGGCAAGCTTTGAATGTAAACCTGATGCTAAAATTATATTCTATATAAAGTAACCAAATCAATGAACAGAGTTGACTGTTTGTATACAAATTTGTTTCAAAAAATGTGAGCTCAAGCCAGATTTTTAAAACATTTATTTCTGGTTCAATGTATTGGTACATTACAGAAGTTTGAGCAAAACCATGGGTGGTCCGGGGAGGGGGGTGTCAAGGGGGTCGTCACCCTCCCAAAATATTTTTCATATACAAGGTGTTTTTTTTTTAAACTTGCATCTTTTTTATGTAAAACCGCAATAGATAGAAATATGCAGTTTGCGGGATTCATCTATTGACGTAGGGGGCTCAATTGTTTTGAATTCAACGTTACCGTTCATTAATGTTCCCCCCTTTTCACCCCCTGTCCCCAACTTATTTTTTTTTAATAGCAAGGTACCCCTTGTGACATATCAAATGAAAGAGTATAAAAAAAGAAAATGTTTGGTGAAAAAAATTGAAAATCGGCTCACAAATTTGTGAGATATTAAACCCCCTTTCTCACCCTTCCCTTAGCTTAAAATTTTGGAATTGCGAGATATACCTTTTGAAATATCAATTGAAAGGGCATGTAAAAAGAAAATGTTTGATGGAAGAATCTTTGTAATCGGCTTATACATATTTTATATTTCACCCCCTCTCTCTCCCTACCCTCAACTTTAAATGTTGAAATGTCAATCCCTTGTGACATTTGAAATGAAAAAAAATCATTTCTGGTAAAATTTTTTTTGAAATCAGATGAGATATTTGTGAAATATTGCAATCCCTATCTCCTCCTACCCTATTACTTTTTATTATCTCACAAATTTATGAGCCAATTTTTAAAATGTTTTTCACTAAACATTTTTTTTTTCGTGCTCTTTCATTTGATATGTCACAAGGGATATCTCACAATTTCAAAATTTTAAGTTAAGGGTAGGGAGAGAAAGGGGATGAAATATCTCACAAATGTATGAGCCGATTTTCAATTTTTTTCAACCAAACATTTTCTTTTTTCACGCTCTTTCATTTGATATGTCACAAGGGGTACCTTGCTATTTAAAAAAATTAAGTTGGGGGCAGGGGGGAAAGGGGGGGAATGTGAATGTAACGTTGAATTAAAGAAAATTGGGCCTCCTACGTCAATAGATAATTCCCGCAAACTGCATATTTCTATCTATTGCGGTTTTTACATAAATAAAGATGCAAGTTTAAAAAAAAACACCCTGTATATAAACTATTATACCAGGGAACTTTAATCATTGTTATTGCAAATCGAAATCGTTCTACCAAATTTATTGTAGTGTATTGTACACTTGTGGCAAATGATAGGACTAATTACAAACTTAAACCTAAAACTTGGGATCGTTTGAGTTAGACTATTTTTTGTATGTCGTGAAAAATAGGGAAGATCGGCAGACGATGGACGCTTTCAGCCATATACGGCAGTGTCCGATGTTGGCGTTTGACGTTCAACCGCATTCTTCTTCTTATTTAATACTTCTGCATTTAATGTTATCATTCGTTGTAACATAGATTAATAACAACTTGAATTGGCTATCGGATAAAGAATAGTATCAAAGAAGTTTTATCAAAAGTTAATTGAAAGGTAGTTGAATATTAATTTATCTGAGTTTAACGTTAGGAATTTGTAATACAGTAACATAATTTGTAATTCAATCAAATTAATTCAATCACCTACCATTAGTTAATTTTAAAACTTTCAATATCGAAATAGTATTCATATTTTCTTAATGATTAGAAGACCTGATAGCATATTTAGGAATAGCACAAACCAATTGGGTGTGTTTCTAGCCACGAAACAACAACATAGTAGTTAATGTCTCAGACTTTGGTGTGGGAGGCACAGGTTTAATTCCCGGCACAATCACAAAAACTTTATTCTCAAGTTGACCTATAATAAAATGCCACTGGTGTAGAAAAAATTAAGAACACTGGGAACCAATTTTGCTGGCGGTAGCAGTGACAGCAGCGGGCAACGTTAGTGGGAATGCCCCCCAACAAAATTTGTAAATAATAACATGCTTATAAATGAGCGATTTTTTAAAGCTTTTTTGAGAGATACAACATTAAATTGACCTAGGTTAATGTGCACGAGATTCACAGTTTATTTCAAGGTTCAAGAAATGTTTGAAAAATAAACTTGAATAATGTGAAGTTTTTGCATTATTGAGAATTGTGTAATTGATCAGTAACAGACACCGTTAACCTGACGGAGTTTAAGTCCAGACTGCAGGTGGTCAGTACAGTAAGTTACATCTGTTATCTCATCACCTCAGGTTGCGTTCCTGCCTATCATACTTCCCTTCTCCAGTGCAATAGTAGAATTAGTAAACTACCGGTAACTCACTACAATCACTTATTAAAGTTCCACTGGTATGTATAATAGTTTATATAGGATATTCAAAATTTTGCGGGGTCACGACCCCCTTGACATTTGATTTAAAATCAATTTAGGTAAATGGAAATTGGCTTAGTCTGCAGGTTTGCTGTAACGGGGGTATTTTTAAAAATTAAATTTGAGGTGTTAATTTCTGGGAAAACAATGGGCAGCGGTTCTGGAATTTATTAATTTTTCTATAAATAATAATAATCACAATAATAAATAATCCTTACTCTGTGAGACAATACAAATAATATTGCATAATGGTTTTATTATGTAACAATCCGCTTAACCAGCTCAATCAATAACTCTTACCATAGACTAACCAACACAAGTAGACTTCTCATCCCATTGTAAATTTTGAAGCACGTTTTCCGTGTCTAGTTTATGTACGTGACACATGGGCGCTAGTGTCGACGAAACTTTGTTTCTATTATTTTGGGGTTAATTTCTTGATTTGTGCTTTACTGTTTGGTTATATAACTAGGGGACTAGTTATTGTTTATGATTAGATCGTATTATTTGGTTAAACGAGGTTTTAAATGGCTGTAATAACGGGAAACAAATTGTAAACAAAACACGACCTCTACATAAAGCGTACAGAACTAACAATAAAATTGTCTTCAGCTGTTCCATAAGGATGAGAAATCTACTAAGGGAGTATGTTTCTATGCTCTTACTAACTAAAAGAATATGATGTAAACCTTACAAATCAATTTTTAAATACCTTTGCCTTATATTTATGTATGTTGTGGTTATTATATATTTTTTGTTCTCTATGTTGTATATTTTCTTATTTCATTAGTAAATATAAAACTGTCATACTTCCCACATTAAATACGAAAGTGGCTGTACACATTATTGAAACATCTGAAACCATAAAAAAAGTATCCATCAATTATAGCATTGACTATTAATATACAGTATATCAATCAATGCTAGTAAATATTTCTTGTATCAAACATATAAACTTCTGCCTTTTTGGTCTTGCCCCAATTATTAATTCAACTTACTGTACATTTATTATGCTGTTTATTTATTTATTGTTACTTACCTTAAAAGGGAAAGTGCAGCAGGAAAGCTTGGGTGGTTCTTGTATAATGACCTCTAAAACCATCAGACACAGACAGTCTTGGGACTAATTTGCTCATATCAAAACAGATTTAGATTAAAAGAAGAAAACAAATGGAAGAAAATTCCAAAAAACATAACGCCTCACAGTTAGTGTGTTAATGCTAATAACTCAGGATACTTTTGAAATAGATTGAATATTCATAGGATGCAAACGAGCATATTTAAAACCAATTGATACTAAAACTGCATGAAACTTAGACACAATTTGTTATTGGCAATTTATTGTAAACAAGACTCAACATGGTGTTTTCCTAAGTTAGGTATTTTGTTTACTACAGATCCGAATTCCTTAAATTTTTTACAAGTCTATAAATTGATTTATTAGATACTAAAATCACAGCTGGAAACTTTTTAAACTTTTTGGCCTAAAACCAAAGATTTACTTTTTTTAACTATTCTTCTACAATACTTTTTTGGCTTTCATGAACACCATGTTGAGTCTTACAATAAGTTTTAAAAAAAACTATAGTCCCTTCACAAAATTTAGGCGGTTAGAGGTCTCCACATGTGCTCGCTGGTCTCCACACACTACTTTTTTGCTTAGAATAATTGTAGCAGCTGATTGATGTTTTGGCAAACTTGTTGTTGAGCTATAATTTTAAAGGTAGGATCAAGTGGAGAGGATAGTTTTCTACCCTTAAAACCGCCTAAATTTTGTGAACCTCAAAGATAACTGTGCATCAATGCATATCAGCTGATCAGCAATGAAGTAAAGAAAACAAGGATACCAACATAATGAGCTTGTATTGTCCTTAAACAGTCTCACGGTACTTGTAATTTGGGTTGTGTTAAAAAATACCACAGAAAAACACCCTGTATTTAGTTTACGGCATCACACTCTAGCTGATTTACTTTGTGATATCATTGACTAATTGTATACTGAAGTAGACATCCCACCTATATGGACCAGCTGTTGCCAACTTTTTATTGAAAAAGAACAGTTAAGTTGACGCCCCATCAGCCTGTCAACTTCAGTAATGTTGACAGTGTAAACTTTTGAAACTCAATTTTAGAATTAATCAATTTTAAAAACAAATATATTATATAAATTTTTTTTAATACAACAGAGTGTACCCAAGGTGGAAGGAAAATACATAGGTGTGCTATATTCTTGTCATATGCTGACGTCACCCAGATTGCAAACAAAAAAATCACCTGATTGTATTGCCATATAAGTATTATACAGTATATTTGTTTTGATTTGATTGTTATCTATATCTATACTATTATAAAGAAGAGGTGGTGTCTGTGTGTGTGTTTGTATGAGCTAATCTCAAAAACTACTGGTCGGATCGGGCTGAAATTTGGCATGATGATAGCTCACATTCCCGATTAACATATAGGCATATTTTTATCCCAAAAAAATCCTTCGGGGCTCCGCCCCAGTGGCTCTGGAGTTTCCCATGTTAACCTTATGAGAAATGGAATTAATGAATCTTAACAGCTGTTTCAATTAAACAAGTTGGTTATGTTCTATGATGTTCAATAGCATTAAAAGTTACAAGGATTACCAACAGGGTGCAGCACTAGCACTATTATTTCTTTTACATTTATGACAACAGCAAAAGGTGAGTGAGCGTAGCGAACGAACTTCAACCTGGAGGCGAGTGAGCGTAGCGAACGAGCTAACCTGAAGGCAAGTGAGCGTAGCGAACGAGCTAACCTGAAGGAAAGTGAGCGCAGCGAACGAGCTCCAACCTAAAGGTGAGTGAGCGTAGCGAACGAACTTCAAAAAGAACCGAAATTTCTTAAACCATGTCCTCACTCATAACTGCTATAAGCATTTGATACTTATATGCCAACCCCGTACGAAGGACGGGTACTCTGCTAGTTGTTTTTATAATTTTTCTGAAGGGTAAAATTGTGTTTGCAATCTGAGTGACACTGATGTCAGCATATGATGGGAATTGCACACCTATGTATTTTCCTCCCACCATGGAGTGTACTGTTATTAAAGTCTTTCACAGATATTGAAAAATTCTTACAATATTTATCTATTCTCATAATATAATAGTATTTAATTGATAATGTAGCTGTATTTTATTATTGATCAATGGCATTTAAAATCAAATAATTGTTGAAAAAAGTGTAACGGGGATTAAAATATAGTTCAGTGATATTAATCATAGTAATATTTATTTTATTATATCTATTGTGGAGTAGAGGACGTCAAAACAGTTGCATTGATTGCTGACTGCTTTATTCCGAGCATGTTTCCAACCAAGTCCTTAAATGCCCGAAGAAGAAAAATAGGAGCCTGAGAAATAAGAACATCATTAGTACATTCTACAAAGCCATACATACAATTTTTATCAAATTAATTTGTACGTTAGTACATATTGCAATTCTATAAGAAAGAAGAAGTCTTGGTAAAAACTAAATATAAGAAATGATAAAATTAATCTGTTCTTTTAATATGTCATACATGACAATCTATATTAACATTCAAAGAACCTAATTGCATAAATTTCTTAGAACAATTTTATGTTCCATCATTGACTATTGGATACTGAAGTAAGTATACATCCCATCTATTTGGACCAGCTGTCACCATTTTTTTTTATTAAAAAAGAGGATAGTTGTGTGAGCCAGACATATAATGTGTGCTGGTGTCTAAAATTATATTTTCTACCTTATTTCTTGTTGCTGGGTTGATGGGTCATAACAGTTGTTATAGCTTATAATAGGTCGCTCTATCAGACAGAAATCAGTAATTTAGATCAGCACAATCTGTCGGTGGCTCATATAATCTAAGACGATTTTGGTTAATCAGCTGGTTAATAATCAGCTGTTCAATAATCAGTCTTGGTTTTTTTCTTGGACGTGTTTGCATCATTTTCAAAATGATTACAATTCAAGGAAAAAACATTTTGTGTTTGTCGTCATCTTTAATAACCGTTCAGCGTGAGTTTCGGAGGCATTTTACACGGAATCCGCCCACATACCAAAGCATTTTAAGGTGGTATCGCTAGTTTGATAGCTCTGCCTCATCCTCATCCTTAATATCTATGTTCATAACTTCAATGAGAAGCTACCTCAGAGGTGGATTGGCAGATGTAACGATAATGACTTGACCTTTCTCAAATGGCTCACTAGATCTCTTGATCTTACGGTGTGTAATTTTTTCCTTATGGGGCTATGTAAAAGAAAAGGTTTATGTACCGCAAATGCCTCAAACACTTTAAGAGCTCTGTGGACGAATTCACAATGCCGTAGAATCAACCAACCTTGCGATGCTAGCCGGGGGGGGCCACCAGTTGACCGACAAGATACTTGGTCGTCTGGCCACTAGACCGTCTTTTTTAATTAAATAGATAAATACTGAAAACCAGTACGTCGACAAGTTATTTTATCGTCAGTCCAGTTGACCGGCCTGTAAATCTAAATTATTATATACGAGAAACCAACTTGTCGTCAATTCTCCCGACCGACTTACCACTTGCTCGTCTTTTAGGTGGGGATGTGTTGAGCGGCAGTGCCAGCGGCGCGCGCAGCTGTGGAGGGCACTGCAGGCGTACCAACTTCTGTATCTTGTAGCGGCGGTTTTCATTCCGACGATTTTCAGCTATCACAATGCAGCGGACTAGCGAGGTTCTTATTACGTGTAATTGTTTGTTTCTCAATCGATATTTTGTTATACACAGTACAGTGAATATAAATAGGCCTATATTAGTTTACTTCAATGAAATAAATGTTTTATTTAGCTAAATAAATACAAATACGCCGATTGAACAAATAAAATTGTTACAGACAACAGGAAGTCCTTAATATGATCAAAAAAGTGTTTATCTTTATTAAAAAATTACTGAAATTTGTAAACTTACTGCTGGCGACAAGGGTGGTGCCATACATAGGTTTATCAATAAATAAGATAAACATGGACAACCTTATGCAGCTATAAGTCAGGAAACATTTGTAGAAACATTAAAAAGCACTACCAATTTATGAAATATGATAAAATATTTACAGGAAATGTTGATTACTGTATATACATCGTGAGTATCTCCAGCAGTTACACACTGGTGATCTTTGAGTTGACTCTTTTAAACTCATTGATTATTACTTTTTTTCGTTTTGAAATAAATTCTATAATACTTTGAAATTGCTCGAATTCGAGCAACATGTACACGAGTTTGAATATTAAATTAACTAACATATTTATGTAATAGGAGGGTCAAATATTGTTAAAAGTGGTGAGGTAACTACCGTTACATTTATTCAATTGAGAGATAAATACAAATCGATAATACCGGTTATTTAAAGCTTTGTTGTCTATTTTTCCCTCTCTTAAAAAAATAAAATAAAGAATGAATTTAGACTTTTGGTGACATTAGTTTGTACTATTTCTCCTTAAATGACACTGCTGTCTTGGTAAGCAATAGTTATCTCGGTAAACTATTTATTTGCTGAAGTGCACAGTGTGCTACTTAGCCTGAGAAACATCTTTTGTTTTATGATTTTGTTGTAGGCCTATTGAAAACCTTGTCTAGAAGGAATTCCCATTGCCTGTGTTACCGGGGAGAAGTTTTTCTTAGTAAAGTCTGTAGACGTCTTCGGTTTTACACAGAAACATGTAATTATAATTGAAGAAGTACATGTTTTATCCTCTCACGTTGTTGCGTGGACAATACTATGGTGATTCAATTCTGTGTACTTCAATTGTCTAACTGGCCCTAACTGACGCATCCTTGTTTTTTGTTTACTAAATAATGTAGTCTTTACTTTCGTGGATCTTTGCGTTTTATTGTGTAACTGTCCTCAAGTAAGTCTGTGTTCTGAGTAAGTACTTCAAATGCACGGCACTACTGTATATTCAGATTTTCTAATGAACTATCATAGATAAAAGGAGTATAGACATGTATGTATGACAGAGTATGTCTACTCCTTTTATCTATGGTACTATTTCCAAGTTCATCTGGACGACCCTGCGAATCGTTTCTAGTAAAAAAATTTTATTTGGTTTATGTTTATGAACTTGTATGAGTGTTGTTAACTAAAGCTAAATTCACATCAAATTAATTAATTTAATTTATTTTAATAGTATTTCTAATTAATTTCAGTTTTAAGAACATATAGTAAATAAATCCTTGTTGAAACGGCTGTACTATCCATGCAATTATTGTCAAACTATATGTTCAAAGATTCCTGGACGGCAATGTTATAATACTAGTTGGAGCAGAGGTACTGGATCTAGGGTTAATACAGTTTTGTGACGTAAGGTATATCACTGCAGAAGTAGTTAGCTCAAGAATTATGACGCGGATGACAAAGATTGGTAGCTTTTGCTATAATTATAAAAAAAAACCAAGTACATAAAATCATTCACAGTTTTTTTTCACAGTCTATTGAATAGCCTGCAGTTAAGTTCACTCTAATGAAGAATATAGACGTGGCCAGAGTTCCAAACGATTTAAGTAACAACTGTTTACATGAACTATCCTATATGTAAGTTTTTTTTTTATAGTGTGCAATGTACTTATTGAATTTTCATTACTAATATATCATGGCTATATCGTTTATGTAAAAGTATCAAAAGATAGTAAAACGAAAACGAAACAATCAACCAAGACCAGTGACCGAAACAAGTGTCGAGCTGGCGGCGCCGCGCCTACCTCGGGATTCCCCGAGGACAATAATTCATCTTTGAAGTAACACCGGTAACACTGACTCACTGGCCGACACGGATACCCGCCTACCACCCCCTTTGTGTCGTCACCCTATGACAACCGGTCGGTCGGCCACCCATCCAAGGAAACTCTAGACATCGGCGGCTCTTTGTCGTTCGTTGACCAGCGTATTTTCTAGAGTTGAATGTATACCCTCACTCACACCAGGGAATAAGTAAACTGTAGTAGTTTTCTTGTTTATGAAAATATTTGCATTAAATTAGAAAAAAATCATTTATTTATTTATAAAATGTTATTATTTTACAAAAAAAAACACACTTTTACCCTCCCTGTTGCAGCAAACCTAAGTACTTGTTAAACTTATTCTATTTAAATATGGAATAACTGTGATATTTTCAAAAAGACATTTTAGTTTAAATCCAATCAGGCAAATAGAAATTTGCTTAGTCTGCAGGTTTGTTGCGGTGGGGGTATATTTCGTCATAAACTCTTTTGCCACTTAAGAGTCTTCAATAGTAAAGTGGCAACTAAAACGCGACTCCAGCGACCCAATTCTGGCGGCGCTCTAGAACTACCCGAAGGCCATTTCCGGTATTACGCGTGCCGCATCACACAAGTAGTTTTCCCGCGCCCCTATTCAAACGCTTGTAGGCGAAGAAAAAGAAAGCGAGTTGACGACCGAGGCTAGGTCGACCCGATCGACTTCGACAGCTGTTTTACTGTCTCTCTCCCTCTCTCTCTCTGTCTTTGGATGTGTAGGGTTGGCGAGGGTTGTAAAATTGCTGAAAGTGAAAGGGACGTGGCTGGCGCTACGTTCCTAGTTTTTGGCCTCTTGATGCTAACACTGGGTCGGCTACTCGAGATCAAACAACAGCGTGTGTTTAGTACAAAATTGGGTCCACAGTCACATCTATACTTATTTAATACGCAAGCAGGATTTTTGTGACAATTATTCCTCCGAAACTACTGAACCGATTGACATGTTTTTGGTGTCATTGGAAAGAGCGTAACGTGAAGTTGTGCAGGAAACTTTCTTTTTAGGTAAATAATTAGAGAGTGAGCCCCTGGGACCCTTTAAAGTTTCGTATTTCTCCATAAGATTAACACGGGAAACAAACATTGTTTTGAAACTCCAGCTGTTGTCAGGAATTAAATATTAATAATTAATTGCTCCCCATGGAAGCATGAGAGTTCTGTAGAGTTTGTAGCCTACACCTTATTGTCTACAAATTGGCTAAATAACTTAGGTACAGTACATTATAAAAGCTGACAGACTTTTTATTTTGACTTAAATTGTAAGCTTACCATTTCCCATCCATGGGCAGTTTGATAGTTAAAAAAAACCCCTTTAAACTGGAATAGGACTGTTATGTAAATTGTGAGTATTTCCATTAGTTAATAATCTTTTAGTTGACTCTTTTAAAATCATCGGAAATTATGACTGTTATTAGTTTTTTAACAAGTAATTTGTTTATATGTAACTCCTGTACTTCTTTGCAATTGCTCGATTTCGAGCAACATGTACACTAGTTAAGCTATAATTTTATACAATAGCTAAGATATTCCACATTCCAACCAAATGAAATAATGAATATATCTGGCCGAAAGTAGTTTTTGATTGCATTTTAAT